AAAAAAATAATTATTATTAAATAAAAATCGTTAAAATTTATTATATTTCTTTTTAAATTATTAATTTAAATTAAAATAAAATATTAGCTAATAAAATTAAAAGTTATATATTTAATATAAATAGTTAGAAAATTATAGTACTTAATTAAGGTATTATATTAACTTATTATTATTTTTATAGATTATTAGGTAATAATAAATATAGTAAAATAAAGTTCTTTAAATATAACTTTTATTATAAGATTAAATCTATATTATATTTAGTTATTAGAATGTTTTATATATTTTTCTTTTAATATTTAATATAAAATAAGAATAGTAAATATTATATTTAATATATTATTAAGACTATTTATTATTAATAATATATATAGTTATTTCGAAACTAGATTTAAGTAAATTATTAAAATATATTTTATTATAGTTATTAAGATATCTTTAGAGTTTAAAACTTAAATTAAAGCTAATTATTAAAATAATATAAAATATATTTATATTTTAAACCTTTTAAAAGTAAATAACACTAGGAATTAAAGTATAATATATTTTCTATTTAAACTTCTAAATAACCTTATTTATAATAATAATAAGATTAAAAGACTTTATCTTATTCTACCCTTGAATCTAAAATAAGAAATTTTTAAAGCAGTATATAATAATTAAAGATATCTAAATTTTAATTATATATATAAAAATATTATAAAAAGTTTTTATTTCTTTAATATAGCTAAGTATTTAAAAAAATACTTATTTTACTATATTTTATATTTAAATAATAAGATACTGTATTATACTCCCTTTACAGCTTTATAACTTATTCTTTTACCTTTTTATCCCTTTAATATTTTAATTATTAATTTTATTCTTATTTTACTTATATTAGTATTAAATAATTTTAATTATATAATGTTAGTTATAAATAAATTTTTAAAAGTAATTATAATAATAGCTAAGAAAATTATATAGATAAGTAAGTAGTAGGCTATTATATTTATAGAAAGGTTATACTTTATCTTATAGAATATTCCGCTTATAATTATTTTAAATTAAAATAAGAAATTTATTATTAATTTTTAAAAAATTATTATATTTTAGCTAAAAGTTAAGCTTATTTTTATTACCGTTTAGTACTCTTAGGCTAATAGTTAATTAAAATAATTTAATTAAATAATAAAAATTTCTTTTTAATATATAATTACTTTTCTAAAAAATATTAAATTATAGTTTTTTATTTTTACTTAGTTTTTTATTTTAGTTTATAACTCTATTTCTTAAGTAATAAAAATTATACTAATTTAAATTTTATTTAATTATTATATTTATAAAATATTAGATTTAGTATAAGCTTTATTTCTTTTTTAAATAATTAAAATTAAAGATTTAAATTCTTTAGTTTTAACTTTTCTATTATTTATTAAAAAAGAATCTTTTTATTATTATATATATATAAATTTATAAGATATTATTACTTTCGCTATAATAATAATAAAAAAGTAATATAATAATTATTATATTTAAAAGTTTTTTAAAATAAGTAATTAAGTATTATTATATTTATATTATAGTTATAAACTACTTAGCTTAAAGAACTAGAATATAAAAATTAAACAATAGTTCGCTAGCCTTTATAAAGTTATTAAGAAAATAAATCCAATTTCCTATTATCTACAATTCCTACCTTCGCTAAGTTAAACTTATTTAATAATTTTAATAGTATATTTAGAATTAATTTTACTTTTATTATTTAATCTATATTATTAAAATTCTATAACTCCTATTTTAATAGTAGAAGGAAATTTCGTATAGTAGCTATTATCTATCTTATAAAAATATATATAATATTACTATATTAATAAGTCTTTTATTTAATATTTTATTTAATTTAATAAATTAAGTAATAATTATAATTAATAGCTTTATTTAAAGGATATATTAAAAGTATTAAAATTATAATTTAACTTAGCTTATAATAAAGATAAAATTATTAAAGTTTAATAAAATTTAATATAAGATTCCTTTAAAAGTATTCTTTATTTTTATTTTAGCTTCTAAAAAATAGCTATTTATTCCTTTAAAATTATATTAAATTAAATTAAATTATTATAAAATTTTATTAAAATTTTTTAAAATATAGCTTTTCTCTTTTCTTATTTTTCGCCTAGGATTATACTTTTCCCTCCCCTTCCTATAGGAGTAGTATAATTATAAATTATATTATATTATAATTTAAGTATATTATATATAATAATAAGATAGAAATCTTAATATTATAATTTAAAAATAATTTAAAGTATAGGTTTAGGCTTTAGCTTAGGCTATACCCCTTTAATAAGCAAAGTTTCTATATATATAATACTTAGTATTAGCTTTCTTTTATTTTTTAGTAAAATAAGCTTTTATAGGTATAGGTATTTTTTAAAAGTAGTAAATTATTAAAGAATTCTACTATATATATATATATTAGCTACCTACCTTTTAACTCGTATAGCGGCTATAAGCTAGGCGCTAGCCTAATAAAGCTAGCGCCACTTAGCGTCTTGCGCCTTAGGGCGTACTACTTCTAGATTAATAAATAATTATTATATACTATAAATAAATACTTATATTAACTTTACTTTTCTTAGCCTTATTCTATTTACTAATATATTTCTATTATAACCTTCTTATAAACTAATAAATAGCTAGTAGGTTATAAATAATTATAACTTTATTAAAATAATACTTAAGTTTATAAGTTTTATATACTAATTTATTATTATTTCTTTATTTAATTTAAATTTAAATATTTTATATATATTAATATAATTTTTCTTATTTAATATTTATTTATAAGCTATAGAATTAGTTTAATTCTTTTATTTAAGATTTAGGTTAGCTAAATCTTTTAAAATAAAAAAGAGGATTAAAACTTATAATATAGTAATTATAGTAGCTTTATTCTAATATATTTCTAGCTTGTTTTAAACTATTTTACTATTATTAATAAAATTCTTTATTTATTTAATCTTTTTTTATTATTAAAAAAACTTTTTATATTAATATTTAAGTTTTTTTTTCTATTTTTAAAGTTAAATATCTTTAACTTTTTTAGTACTAATATTTTAAAATTTTTATTTTTATTATTACTATATTTTTCTTTAAATTTATTAAATTTTTTTTAAATATATCCTTATACTTAAAGTCTAATAGCCTCTATAACTATATTAGTTACTTATTTAGTTTAAAATATTATAATAATAAATTAATTTAAATTAATTTAATATTTTCTATTAATTTAATTTTCCCTAGCTTTGCTAAAGCTTAACATAATATTAATAAGAAATAATATAAAAGTAATCCTTTTATAAATAATAATAATAATAAGTAATATAATAAAAAATAAAAAAAACTTATTATAAAAAAAGTTAAAAAAAGTTAAAAAGCTAGGGAAGGTATAGAAAAAAATTTAAAAGTATTATTTAATAAAAGTAATTAGCTATAAACTTAATATAAAAGTCTATTTTTAATTATATTTAAAGAAATAAATATAAAAGTAAGTTTTTATAATTATTACTATAAAAATTATAAATAGTTTATTAAATAATAATTAAGTTTTAATAAAGTTAGTAGCAATATACTAATGCTATACTTATAAATAAAATAAAAGTTATTTAGAAATAAATAGTCCTCCCTAAAAAGTAAATATAGTATAGAAAACTTTAAAAAAAGTATATTTATATCTATTATTAAATAAACTAAATATATATAAAACCTAGTATTATTATTTAATATATTTTTAAATACTTAAATACTAAAGTTTTTCTTAAATAAAAATATATTAAAATATATTATTTTAAAATTTACTATAAATATATATTTTAATATCTAAATTAAAATATTTAATAAAAAAGAAATAAACATATATTTATAGCGTCTTAGCCTATAGTATTTTAGAGAAGTTTTTATAGCTATTTTAATATTTATATTATTACTTTTTTTAACTTAATATTCTAATTTATTTTAATATATTGAATAATTATTTTAGTTAAAAATATATTATTTTTAGAAATTAATTTAAAAATATTTAAATATTTCTTAATTAGTTTAATTCTAAAATTATATATTACTTTTTTAACTTTATTATTAAGTTTATACTTATATACTTTAAAATTATTTCTTAAAAAAGAAATTATACTTTTAATTATTAGTAACTATGTACTACTAAATATTACTAGTTTACTTTATATATTTTTTTGTTTATACTTTAGCTTTAATTTATTTAAAATAATTATTATAAAATTATTAAAAAATATAATAATAAAGAAAAATAATTTAAAAAAAATAAATAATAATAAGTCTTTTCACTATTATTACAAGATAATAATAAGATAAAGTAATTATCCTATAATTTATAAAAGATTAAATAGCTAATAATAATTATAATATACTTTTATAAATTATAGCTATAGTTATTGTTATCTTATTTACTATAATTTTTTAAATAATAATTATTTATAAAAATTAAATTATATACTTAAGTAATATAAAAATTATTATTTACTTAACCTGGATCCTGGTAAAAAGGTCGCCGTTTTCGGCATACCTTGACGCTGTTTTAAGCGTCCTTTGCACCGGCGCCCCTGCCCACCGCCCACCGCCCATGCCGCCCTGACGGCCACTAACCCTAGTCGCATCAGATAGCGCTTGTCAGCTACGTGCCAACATCCTCCCTTCGCACCTCACCAGCATCATTCACATCTTGGACGTGGTGTCTATGGTGTGCCTGATGATGGGCCGACTGAGCGAAACGGCAGCCAGATGCAGGATTGCGACAACAGAAGGTTTGATGAGGGCCCGGGGTCCCCCCGGGGGCCTTACCCATGAGCCAAAAATGGTCCTCTCATGGCCATAAATAAGTCAGTGCCCTTCCCTTCTTCCTTCTCTCGTCTGGTTTCTCCCTCCATGGCTTTGCCCACCTTTTCCCTCTCCTGGCCTGGTTTCCAGTCTCCGTCTGACTGACCATGGTTCGTCGCAAAGTCCCACACCACGCTCCGCGGGCGGCCTCCACCACGTCCCACTCCCCTACCGCGAAGGACCATGTGTCTGCACGCGACTATTACAAGCGGCGATATGAAGAAATGGACAAAAAGCGTCGGTCTACGGGTCTTTATGAGGACTCCACAAAATCACACATGAATAGGATGGAAGGTCTGTGGAAAGAGTACGTCGAATGCCTCCCTTCATGCTCCACGGGTCCTCCTACTGACTAACGAGCCTTGCTAGGTACTGCAAGGTAGTCAACGTGGACCCATACCACACGCTCAAGAAGTCTCCTGCGGGCAGGATCAACAACTTCTTTCACTGGATGTGCAACGAGTACACCGTCCGGAAGGTCAGTTCCGTCACCACGTACTGGCACCAGCTCAGCCAAGTGTACATCAAATACAAGGGTCGACGGATCAGTCCGCTGGTGTTGAAAAAAGTTTACGAGGTACGCTGCCACTGACCCAGAAGTACTGCGCAGTGCTAATGAGGATGGACCAGTTCATTGTTGGACCCCTGGCACAAGAGCATGGCTTGGATGACAGCGAGACAGACAAACCCTTGTTGGACGTGGAAGACTTCTTGGAGGTGCTCCGCTGTCACTGGGTGACCGACACCAACTCCTTCCCGCACGAACGCCAGCGGGTGCAGGTCGCCACCCTTCTCTTGTTGGCGGCGGTCACCGGTTCTCGCCCTGGGGCACTGCTGGGGATCACCTACCGCGATATCGATCTGTTCGTATTGCGCGACCCAAAAACAGGTGAGGTCGCTCTGACCCTCCAGCTTCGCTTGAAGAAGACCAAATCACGACAGAAGCGAAAGCGACCGTGAGTTAGAACCCTCTCCCTATTGCTCGGAGATATTGACTCCAACGCAGGAAAACATATACCTTCTTTGTGGACAACAATCCCATGTTCTGCGTGATCTCCCATATCGTTGCTCTTGCGTGCGATGACGAAGCCTTCCGGTTCCCCAAAACTACCCCCCGGGTGGTTTTCACGCTTGGAGTACGCCCTGGGTTGAACTGCCAGCCAATCCAGTGGCATGATGACATGAAGGACCAGCCCGTCTTCTGCGCATCCAGCTGTCCAGGCCGAGGAAAGGGGAAGGAGCTGCACGAGTCCCTCCCCTATAGCCGATATCAGGAATGGGTGAAGCGTTTGGGAGAAGAGACCGGCTTCGTGCAGGTGTTGACCACTTATTGCCTCCGTCGAGCGTCGGGGAACGCAATTAACGGTGAGCCTCCCCGTGTTTGACTCCGGTAGTGATTGGCTGATTGAGATAGACGACCCCAACTCGAACGAAGCGGTGCGCAATCTGGTGCTCGACCACGCCAGTTCGATGATCTTCCAGCGAAATTATCTCTCCCGAATGATTCGTTACGACACGCAAGCGGCCTATCGAGGCACCGTATCGCGAGGGGACTTGATCGTTGCTTCTCACCGGATGAGCCGCACGATCGATCCTCGTCGACCTCGCGGGCCGTCCCTCCAACAATTGCAACACTTACGGCAGGATGCAGGCATCCAAGAGTTACGCGAGCACCAGCACAATCTCTACATTCAGATCCGCGAGAAGTTCAATTTCATCTACCGGGCAGAAGGTCAGCCGATCTATGACGAATATCAGCAAGTCAAGCGAGACATCGATCGTCTGCTCAAAGAGAAAGGGCGGGCACTCAAGGCGCAATTGCAAGCAGACTACGACGCGGCAGCTCCGATGCAGGATATGCTCGCCCAGCTGGCGGTCCACGGTCCCATCCTCTCCCCCGTTCAACCTCGTCCGGCTCCGGTGGAGTATCCCTTCGAGGAACGCGCGCGCATCGCCCAAGCCTTCTTTGATCCACCATCGTCCGCCGAGTGTGATGGGAACCCAGATCGGCAGATCTCCATCGTCGACGACTTGGTCACGCTATGCACTCGCCAAGAACGGCGTCTTCGGAAACCTCGTCGATCGTGGGAGGATGACACTGCTAACAGCTCGTCGGATGACAATACTGATATGGAAATCAAATCGGAATACTCAGGTTCCGACGTACCGGCTGGACATCATTTCCCCCTTCAATGTCGGCCTTTCCAATGTCTGCACTGCATCGGCAATGCCACATTGCCCCTGCTCGAACGACAACATGTCTTCGGCAGTAAACATTCGCTGCAGCGCCATCACGACCGACATCACGGGTTTCAGCCGGGCCAGAACTGCCCATTTCCCAACGATGAATGCGCGCAACTCGCACTCGCAAGCCTCATGCACTTCAAGAATCACGCGGCGGGGGTCCATGGAATTTATATGTCTGACAAGTGCTAGTACTTGTCACTCGTCCTTTGAGTAGATTGTGATTTACACACGCTATTCTCATCATCAACCCTTCTCTTATGGCTGTAATTATACGTTGTTCCCTTTGTCTATTGAGGAAGATTTGGGGCGTTCAGTGATCTTGAAACAAATCGCACATTGATAGAACGATAGACAATGTGACACGTGTATGGTATCTTCACATGATCCTCAGTCGCGGTCATCGCCGCTTCTGTCCTCGCCGATTTTCTCCCATCCCATTCGCAGGCGAAATCTATAGCCTATGAGATACCGGGAAACACGTCTCTCGACGGTACTTGTAGAACAGTGGACTGACCGAACACGCAGACATCATATCCATATCCGCATCGATCAGCTCGTTTTCAGCAATGTCGCTTTGTTCCACCGTACGCCATGTCTTTTTTGCTCTTTGAGCCGCGGGTTTTCCTGCACCAGAGCGTATGAGTGTCGATGAACCGGTTCCCATAGGCAAAGTCACCAGATGCAAGAACCTGGAGACGGAGGAATCCATCGGGACCAAAAGCCCAACTCGCGAAAGCTCCCAGCTCTTCTTCTTCATCGTCGCGCCAATTCTCCCCTTGGATTTGTTCCCACCTCCGTTCTCCGTCATGTCAGTGTGAAAGTGGTGATCTGCGAGGAAGCTGGTGAGGTGTTGGAGGCCCACATGCTTTCTGCACTGATACCAAGCGCTCACCACCTCATTCAAATCGGCGACCAGCAGCAGCTTCGTCCTCAAATCAACAACCACAACCTGTCCCTGGAAAATCCGCTGGGCCGACTTCACCAGCTCGACCGCAGCCAGTTTGAGCGACTCTCCGTCGGTGAGCGTGGCAGGCCTCCGTTTTCCGTTTCTCAACTCAGTGTCCAGCGCCGCATGCGACCTGACATATCAGCCCTCATCCGAAATGCCCAATATCCTCGCCTCGAGGATCATGCCAGCGTTCGAGATCTTCCGAACGTGATCGGAATGCGGAACAACATCTTCTGGCTCGATCACAAGAGGATCTAGGAGAGTATGAGGCCAGACACGGTCCAGAAATCGAAAAGCAATGACTGGAAGTGTGACTTGTCCCCTCTGTCGCAAGAACTTGAAAGATCCATTCTACCTGCAAGTGCATGGACTACAGTGCGAAGTGCGGGACAAGGAATGCGGCATGAGTTTTCCACCACACCCAATGTGATTGCTGAACATGATTCGCAGCAATGACCGAAACCGTGTCGGCTTTCTACGGACGGAGAACCGCATCAACGTCCTCCTCAGCCGCGCCCAGTACGGCATGTACCTCATCGGCAATGCGGACACCTACGCCAACATTCCCATGTGGGCCGCCGTGCTCAGCATGCTGCGCCTCCAAGATTCCGTCGGCCCGGCCTTCGCTCTTTGCTGCCCTCGTCACCCCGAGACCGAGATTCAGGTCGCGCAGCCGGAGGAGTTCGCCATAAACAGTCCCGAAGGAGGATGCAGGCTTGCTTGCGACAGGCGCTTAGATGCGTGCGGGCACAGGTGCATGGTGAAGTGTCATTCTGAGACGTTGCACCGTATTTTCTCGTGTTTGTAGCCATGTTAACGCTTGTACGTACCGCTGTCGGAGATTATGCGGTGAGAAGTGCGGACCTTGCCTGAAACCCGTGAGCGGGATAGAGCTTCCATGTGGGCATGTTTAGGATGGTATCCTCTGCTTCCAAAACCTGGAACCGGGAAAGATCACGTGCTCGGTTGATGTTGAGAAGATTGTGCCCTGGTGTGGTCACAGAGTTCCCGTCCCTTGTTTTCGAGACGTGACATCCACAGACTTCAGCTGTCCAGCCCCTTGCGGAGCTGTGCTGAAATGTGGCCACCGATGCAGCGGAACATGCGGTCAGTGTCGTCGTGTGAGGGACTCGGAGGAGGGGACGGCAGAACATATCCTTTGCACCACGCTGTGCGGACGGCCGCATAACACTTGCAGTCACACTTGTGTGCAGGCTTGTCATGATGGAACAGAGTGTGGCGTTTGCAGGCTTCCTTGTGAGGTATGGCCCCTCGACCATTCGCTCATATAATGTCTCTAGAGGATTGTGCATGTCATGTCGTTCACGTGCTGATTTACATACAGGTTTGCTGCAAGCACTCCCACTGCAGCAAACCCTGCCACGAGCCTTGCGCTCCCTGCATCCATGACTGCGCCTGGCGGTGCAAGCACCAGGGCCGGTGCAGCATGCCCTGTCCCGCGCCTTGTAATCGCCTGCCTTGTCCTCACCGATGTTCCCTCGTTCTTGATTGCGGCCACCAGTGCCCCAGCCTCTGCGGTGAGGACTGCCCCACTGGCTTCTGTCAGATATGCTGCTCCGACGGCAGAAAGGACCAACGCGTAGACATGCTGGAATTCAAATCATACAACGAAATTAACCTTGATGAAACCCCAATCATTGTCCTAAGCTATGGGCATTCCTTCACAGCCGAGACACTTGACGGGCACATGCAGATGAGTGAGGTCTACGAATACCTCCCTGCAACTGGCGAGTACACAGGTCTGCGCGAAAATAGAGAATCACTGGCGCCAGCGCCACCTCGGTGTCCCGATTGCAAGCGAACGGTTCGCCAATTCGCGACACAGCGCTATAATCGCGCCATCAATCCCGCCGTCATTGATGAGATGTCGAAGCGTTTTCTTGTGAGTGGGAGTGAAAGGATTCGGAACCTTGACGCGGACATTGACGAGATAGAGGAAGGTCTTCAGAAGGCGAGGCACCAGGTTGTGACTCCTGAACAAGGTCAGAGCAACCGCGGCCTTCGTACTTTCCTCGCCAGGCTTCGAGAGATGGAAAAAAGGGCTCGCAAGATGTGTACGTGCATAGAAACTTTCTTAGAACAGGTTGCAGATCACTGCCAGCCAGCGCGCAAACTGCATGACGCAACCATCAACGCTATGCAAAGCGCAGAAGCTTTTAATGTGACGATAATGTAGCTGTCGATAGACAACAAGCCCCCGGCTCCAGCACCTCGCGACCGCCGAATAGCCGGGCGCTGCACGTCAAAGCCTTGTTTGTGTTTTTGGCGCACCGTCTCAGTCTGGTCCGCGAAATGAGCTCCGCCACCTTGGATCTCCCCTCTGAACCACCAGGACCAGATGTACAACTCGTGAATGACTTCCTCGCCACCTGCGATAGCTTCATTGCTGAGTGTGGCATCGAAAAATTACCCAAACTAGATGTTGAAGCTCGGCTCTTCTACGGTCGCGATGTGAGACTGTACAATGGTTCTACGTTTGGGGGAGAGGATGGCGAAACGAGAGGGGGCGAATATGTCAACGCAGCAAGATTTTTCATTGAGGGTGCCATCGAATTATGCAGGCAACCCTTCCATATCGTCGATGTACTCCGCACTGTAGCAGAGGAGGTGCAGCGGGCGTTGGGGAGAGAGTGGTACGACCCCGTCAGCGCGCAGGAGCTCGAAGCGGGGAAGAGCGCGATGGTCAGCGGCTCGCACGGCCTAGCGACGCACTCGGGTTACTGGTATAACTGCCACAACGGCCATCCTGTGAGTTTGTTCTCTTTCTTCTGTGGATATGGAAGAAGCGCGCTGCCCGGAGTGTGGCGAGCCGGTCGGTGGGCGTTCGCATCAGTCGGTAGAAGGCGTGACGAGGGCGACGTACATGGAGTAGAAATCCCGGATTGAATCCGTCCCATAGCTTTTTACCTTGTTGGTTCTAATTGTGTGAATGACTAAGCAAAAGTGCGAACGCCACGAAGCCACAGAGTAAAAAATTCCCGGAATTTTTTTCTCCTTCCTATCTCGGACTAGTGTTTGATCCGTCGTACTCATCAGAGCGATGGTGAAGCTGGAGATTACCGAGAACGATACCATCAAGAAGGCTCTGCTCAGTAGGCTCTTTCTACACCGGAGTGGATTGATGGAGACACAAGTTCCTCCAGGGAAGTTTCTACAGTCTGACATATTGTCTCTTCCCGATCAGAAAGAATTCGGTCTGCTAGAGCTGTCTCGGATTGCCAATCGATAGAGCGATCTGTGACTTCATCGCCAGCAATAATTTGACATGCTAACCACCACGTTACGACGACTGTGTCTTTCGCGGTATTCGCGACGGGTGTATCCTACCCGCAGTAGTCAGTGAGAGGTTACTGTTGATCATGTAGACTCAACCTTTTCGTGGTGGCAATTAAAAACCTTCCCCGCGATGTTTCCCACTGTCTGATCAAACCAATGTTGAAGCAGCTTGACAGTTACGTTAGCTTCCAAGCGTAAGCGGGGTGAAAATGTCCGACTTACTGCAAACGTAGAATTCGGCGACCCAAGGGTCCATACACTATCGTAGCACACCACAAGGTTCTCAGCGATGTCGAAGATGGCCAGTTGCCACCGTTGAGAGTAGAAAAATGGTAGAATTTGGTAACGAGATGGCTGTCTGTGGCTTCGCTGGACGCGTGGCCACCATTCTGGCCGTCCGTCGATACCCTCCGGATCATCGAACCGAATGCTCTGCCACAGGTAACACTGACCGAAGATTCCGTTCCGCTGCCGGGATTCTGCAGCCTGACGAAATGAAGAGGTCAGGAGAGCGTCCAGGTCTGGTCCCGAAAAGGCGTCCGCTTCTTCCAAGGGACTAACGTCTTGTGAAAGAGCATCTGGAGTGAAAGCCGGGCCTTCTGCAAAATTTGCCGCGCGGAGATCGTCATGGTTTGCTGGAGGAACTGAAGCAATTCCTGCCGAGAAGTTCAGGCCTGATCTTGAAGATACCGCCCGATAATTTGAGTGGCCCCGGGCTATTTCTGCATCTGGATCAGAATTGAAGAACATCCCATTGACTAGATCGTTTGCTGCGGCAAGGTTGTCCCTGAATTCCGGCTCTCGTTGTTCAACAAGCTTCAGAAAATCGCTGAATTCCTCTTTCTTCAACTCCCTCAACCTAAAAGACAGCGGGTCAGGCACTCCCGCAAGTTACTTTACACTGCTCACTACAGCAGCTAGGGGGCTTGGTATCCAACTTACCTACGGTTGGTCACATCATCCGGTATGAGCAGCAAAAAGCCTGTTCCAAATCGGTTGATGAGTTCGAACCAAGGCCTGCCCCAGCTCTGCCAATTATTCACTCGGGTGGAATCTTTCCCCCGATTCCGCTGGCCCACCGATCGACAGAAGACGAGCTCGATAAAACATTCTTTGACTTCTGCGCGCCTGGTCCCTTTCGGGGCCCGTGGCGGGTTCCTACGGTGGGGGGCGTTTCGGGCAAGTTCCTGCAGAAATTCGTCTGGTTTAGCTTGTGCAGCACGATATGCGCAATAAAAGTCTGCAAGGGCAATGCGATTGTGAACGCGCGACAGCTGCTCGTTGATTGTACTAGCCTCAATCTCTCCAGCTAGATTCGGGATTGCTCGGATGATTCGAAGCGGGGTTGTGTCGCTTCGAATGGGGATTCTGCTGTAGATGGTGGGGGTAAGGCCAGGCGGTCGATGCGGCCGCGTCTTCAGCTCTCGGACGATTTCCTGTATATCCGCTGTCTTTCCACGTCTTCCAATCTGATCGATCAGGGCACAAAGTGGCCCAGGTACCGTGCAGTCTTTGACGGATGACCTTTTGTGGATTTTGCGTGCCTTCCTCGATGGTTCGTTTTTCGTCTCTAAAGCTGACTTTCTCATCCTCTTCCTCGTCCGCGCCAGATCTACAGCGGAGTCTTCACATCTTGGAGTCTTTGCTGGCGATAGAGGAAGGGCTGCTCGATGTTCAGCTGTTGAGCCTAATACTAATTGTCCATTGGACAGTCTGCGTTGAGGAGGAGAAGGCCCATCCGCCGAGCCAACGAAATCAGACTCGTCGTGAAAAGCTATGCCGTGCGCCTTCAGCGGGTCAGGCTGGTCAGAATCGATTCGAGCGTTGTCGACGGGTTGGGAGGGTGCAGGGTCTGAGCAGAATGATTCAATACACGTGGAGCGATGGTCACTGGACCCCGCTGGAGCATCGGGGGCTGCGGCCATGCCATTCGAGACATCGCCACAATGTGTGTCCAGAGCTGAGGATCCCGACACTAGGGACGGAGGGAAGGGTGACAACGGCGAGAGTGACTGTGGAGACGAGAAGGGGGGCGAGGAGGCTCTGATTACGTCCACCGCCGATCCGGTTAGTGACTGAGTTCGCTGTTGGAGAGAGGGACTTGCGAAAGGACTTTGCTGGGCCGAGGATACTTGTGGGGATGGGCTGAGCTCTCGTTCACCCGGTAGGTAAGAAGGGGTGTGGCATGGTGTAGCTCTGCTTGTTGGGGAAGCCCGATCACAATCGGTTGGAAATGTTTCGAAATTTGGAAGGGCGACTTCTCCAGTACCTCTTGCATCCTCCTTTATACTCCGTGGCCTTCTATCGGTCCGCTCAACAGCGGGATCGGCATCATGAGCTTCGGGTAGTTTGAGCTGCGGTGATGATGATTGCGCAGGGATTGAGGGTGAAAGAGGGAAGGTACAATGGTTTGACGATATCGTCGCAGGGTTTATCTGAGAGGAATTGACCAGTCCAGCCGGTACATGTGAAGTCTGTGAATTGACACCAGACTGTTGCTGAGCGGCCCTGGTGTCCACAGTCCGGTCCGGTTCCTACATCAATCAGCCCCACAAGTTATAAGGGAGGCAGGACATTAATACAGAGGGTATAGTGGCGCGGAGTTCCCTTTGCCAATCATGAAGGTCCTCCCGAGAGATGGGGCCGCGCGCGGGCTGGACATTGGCGCCGAATTCGATCGACAGGTTGGGGCTGCATGGGGCCGTTAGAAAGCCCCCGCCGCCAGCGTTGATTGAGTGGAGTCGACGGTGAACGTGACGGGTACCATTCCTGATCAATTCTACTTCATAAGAGTGGCGACTCTGCAGCCGGTCAATGCAGGCAATGATTCTTGCAAAGATTTCTGGGACAGTAATCATCGATAGAGAAAATGGATGGGGATGGAAGGAAAGAAGATGAAGGTACGCTTGGCGAAGTGGTTCCTCTGTAAAGCGGAAACCTTCCACTAGTTACGATGGATTTCGGCTCACTGGCTTGTCAGAATGACCACCATCACCTAGTGGTCACATGGTAGACTAGGAGCCTATGTAAAATCCCTGCGGTAAAATCTTTCCCTAGGGGAGAGATTTACCCTAGGGTTTCCGGTCCCCTGAGGGAACGCTTACCGGAGGGGAAAATTGTTAGCTGGGGAACGCATCCCGCAAGGGAGTGTCATGCGTTTCCGCAAAAGAACTACTCCGCCAGGCATAACCCCTACTCTTGCCATGGAGGCAAGATTTCTCTGGAAGGGTGTCCATCTTGTCCATGCTTCGTTCATCCAAGCGCACGACAAAGGTGACGTGGGTGCCAGAATTGGAAGAGATGCCAGAATTGGAGGGGGTGTCACAATTGGTAGAGGAAGTCATAATTGGTAGAGGGCGTTACAATTGGATGTCACTATGCTTATCCATATATAAGGTAAGGTCAATCTCGTCGGACTGCCTGAACTTCTATTAGTCACTACAATCTTTATTGCATCTCCATCCAATCAAGGCAGCAACCTTATACTATGCCTTACGCAGCAAAAACGAAGACTTAACAGTTCACTAGAAGGAAATCAAATCTCGTGAAAAAATCACATTAGCTAGCACGACTGTGTTAGGTGGACTTTGCGCTGATTATCCGCAAAGATGGCAGGTATTATACATATCTATTAACTAATTATAAACAATAGCCTCCCACGATAGTGGAGATTGTATATGCAAACCGAGCACAAAACACCCATGCGCTGACCGGACTTTAGAAGAAATCGTACCCTTTGCCAGTCAATCTACTTCCTCAAGACCTTAACAAACGCAACCAGGACAGCCCACCAAAGTCGGAGGAGGCGCCATCGCAAACAGTGCCTGAGTCGGCGGGTGCAAACTCTCTGCTATCTCACCCAATGCCTACGCACGAATCAGCTGGGAGAACATTTCGGGATATATCACATACCAGGACTGGATCCTTTGGTATCTGAACCATTCTGTGTTTCAGTCAACAGAACTTGACCTGAACGATCCTCAGAGAAAGAATGCTTTGTCACGTGATTGTAGCTCGAGGTCCGTTTCTGGCCATCGAGTTGATGAGTTTGTGCCTGCAGGAGTATGAGCAATAGCATGATAGAACATATTTGCCCAGTCTCCGCAGAAGCGACGCTCTCTCGGGCGCAGCCTCTTCGGCAACGTGGTATCCTATGAAAACATCCTCCGCCAGTCTGCACCTCCCAGATCTTGTAGCTTGATCTCCTGTCCCTCCAGATTTGTCTTACGCGTCATACAATGACGGGCCTCTCAAAGTAAAGAATGTCATAACGAGTATAATTTCAAACAGGACGAAGATCTTGGCGCGTCTTTGCTCTAACTTAGCGAGGCTCTTTCCATGACGGACAGCCTCTGCTTGTGCGTTCAAGTTCCGTGCGGTTTTCGCAGAATTGCTACGCGCGTGTTGCTGCTGGCGGGATTGAATCAAAGTCCTGGCCTTAATCAATGAGGCGAACATCAGAGTCGCGTCGAGACCCCTAAGCCAAAGAATGATCTCTTACGCGCATCGATTTTACTAATTTTTCCACAGGTTGTGCTGTGTAACCGAATTTTTTCATAACGAGAATTCTTACAGCAACGGGAGATGTTTTATTTCCCTGAGTACCGACTCCCCTTCCCTCTCCACAGCTCTCCAGTCGTCCTTTCCCAAGCGGTTGGCTATTCACCCGGATACAATGGACCTATAAGAGGAAGTGCTGATTTAGAATCAAGATGTCCCGATAGAACAATATCAAGGCAAGCGTTTGACGATTGCCTCTCATGGAGGTGTAGGGATACGTCGTTTATACCTTTCTTCAGAAGCTGGGGAAGGATCTTGAACAAGAGACAACAGCTGATAGAGAAGAGTCGAGAAGAAGTGATGAGAATTGCGATATGATCCAGAGGGTTGCACAGGGTTTACGATGCTTATGAAGCTGCAAAATGGTTGGGATACCACAGCCAGAGCTTGGATCGGCGAAGGCGATTGAAGAATCATTTGATGAATACCTCGTAGCCGGCGACATCTCAGCAGATGTATATAGGATATCAACCGTCGTTCGTGATTGCACGCTGGCCAATATTTCAATAAGCATGCCTGGATTCGCAGGACGAGCTGAGGTTCCATATGGATTTCTGGCAGACGCAGATGGCAGAGCGGCAGAGGAGAAACTTGAGAATGAGATATACCAGTACACTGGTATCAGGGTACAGAGTGAGCAGCTCCTGTATCTTATAGGATCTATGAGTATTGCATTCGACTGCCCTTGACATCACTCGTGGTCACCCGAGAGCTTTAGGACTGGCGTTAGATAGGAGCACGTCTGCCTACATTAAAGGATCAACATAACATATTCAACAGAGGCTTTGAAGATACTCGTTTTTACTTTTAGCGCATGTGCTTCGCGATCGCCAGGGCCAACTCCCCGTCCTTTTGGAGGATCTCTTCTACCTCCTGCTCATCCAGCAAATTGTTATCTGTCGCGATCTTGTCCACCATAATGTCGCGAAGTACCGCATCACTTCGGAAATCTGGGTTACAGACAAGTTTAAAACTGTGACAACGCCCTGGTTGTCATGGATTTTGTTGAGGGCAGCTCTAAATTTACGCGCCGCCACCTTTTGCAGATCAGGGACACCGTAGAAATCTGCGATTGCACACATCTGTGCATGTACTGCAGCATTGCCGCCGGAAGAGACTCCTTTGGAATAGTCTGATTCAACTTCACTTGCAGTCGGTCCTTCTTCGTACGGCCCAAATGAGTTATCAGGCCATTGCTGAGCCTCTAATTGTTCTCTTCTCCTCGACTGCAATTTTGAACTTCTCTTTTTTTTACTCCATTTAGATAAGTCGTCGTCTTCCCCAGGCTCCTCCATGTAATCTAGACCATAGAGATACTGTAGCATATATTCCACCAACACGGGATTATCCATTGGTACCGGCATGTCTTGGTCAACTTGTATGTTGATCGCTTTGTCCTCCCCTTCCTGTTATAATATAAGTAAACGGACCGAGCGGTTTCCAGATATTGCTATACCTTCCACGCCCCATCTTTGCACGCCTTTCGAAAATACTCGGATCGAGGGAAAAATTGAGAGCCTGATGGACTTCGAACGTCTTATCGCGCAAGGTAATCGTGAGATCGGAGTATTCGCTTGACTTGAACAGACTGGTTTGCACCACGCTCTCAGTACATGTGCATGATTGCCTTGATATAGAAAGACAACGCTTTGTTACCCGAGAACATTTTCTGCCAATTCTTCCTTAGGGCCCATCTTTGGTTCATCCAGCATGGTCCACAGGCTCAAAAACTGTTCGAGTGTTTGGTGACTCTTCCACTATCGCAAATCGACTTTGACGAGTTTACAGAAGGAAAGTCAAGTAAATGTGGACCTCAGAAGCTCTTCACAGAAACCCAAAGTGAGATTCTCTCGTAGATATTGGTCGCCCGGTGCTCACATAAAAAGATTTTGAGGATGAGTGAAGCCTTTGTGACCGTCACTTTCTGCCAGCGCCTGTCCTAAAATTTTCCGCCACTTTGTATCAGCCACAGCCTGTACCACGAGATACAACAGCATCGCTGCATTCCTCTACCCGTTTCAATATCTAGACCTCATAACGACCCTTTCAATATGGAGAATCGGCGTTGCGTAATGTTGCATCAGATACTAACTTATCATATATCCTCTTACCCTTGTGAGGGTAGAAACTTTCTCGATGATTCAAGGAAAGTCGTTCAAACAGGCTAGAACTCGTCGGAGTTGCTTCAAGCTGCCCTTTTCCCTGCTCCATTCGGCTTGTATCCTGCAAAATCACACTGGTTTCTTGACCGGTTTGATGTCGCAGAATGATCTTAGCTACGCACAACTTCTGCAAAAAACCCAAGTCTTTTTCATCCGTCAGTAAATCTAACAAATGCAGTAATCGGCTACCCTTGAGAAATCTCCCTCAACCGTCTTTGAAACCCAAAGCATTCATCCCCGCGCACATGAAAACCTTCCCAATCGCTCAAGTCCGCCTCTTCTCGCCCCGTCCACCAGATCTCAAATGATGGGCAGAAGAAGTTGTCCAAATTGACAGACCTCAACTTTCTCCACCTACGTCTATACTTCACGCTTGACAGCAATCCTAATGGATCTTTTGGAGGACACATCTTTTGCATTTCCGCTGCGTAGCTTTGTTGGTAGTAGGACAGCTTTTGACTTTTCCCGATAGCCATAGATAATTCATAGGCCGCCCTCTCAAATTTATCAACGACTTCTGGAAAGCGGCTCTCAAGCTGCGCCTCGACATTGCCCAGCTCCTTTTCGACCCTGTAGCCGGCTGCTTGGCCTAATAAGAACAGAAATACCTGCTTTATCTGGAACCGGGAAGCCTCCATACCTAGTTTGACCAGTGCTTGTGCAACCTTTCGAGCGAAGAAAGGAGGAGTGACACATCGTAGGCTATCACGCAAGTCCTGCAGTCGTGCTTTAGGCGAAAGATTGGTCAGAGCCGGAAAAATATCAACCAGGCCGCTCGTGACGATCTGCTCTCGTTGCCATTGACAGATTATACTCGAGGCTGGAATCTCCCCCCACACAAGTGTCTCTGTATTATAAATGTCTTTTGTCAGGAGACCGCACATAGTTCGTAAATCGTTCAAGGGTATATAGCTCCCTGGTGTGAGCTTCCAAGGGCAAATGTGAGAGATCTTGAGGTTTGTTTCGTCCTTGTAGGTGTAGAACATCAGGTGAAGGGCACGAATCAGATCGGGCGTCAAGGAGATGAATGGCGTAGGCTTGCGATTGGAAAAATTCTGATGCCTCCTGAGATATACAGTCAACTGTGATGTGCCCAGTGCCTCAAACGCTGGTGCTGGAAACAGTCTTGCCCGAATGTTGTCCGCTTGCTGTGTTGCTGATCGTGAGTGGGATACCCTGTAGACAATTGGTCTATGAAATGAATTCGCAGGGCGATCCTTGTAGGTATAATATAGTTCTGACAGCTTCGGAGCTCTTAGCCGCTGTGATCAGAGGGAGATGGTGGGGCTCACGCCATCTTGCAAATCCTGATTGACTCTAGCAATATCTTCATACGGAGAGGCCGTCTCTTCTACGTGTAAGGCGCCGAAGGCATCTTCCAGCGCACACCCAAGCTTACTATCGTCGTTGCTGTATGTGGCGTGGCTTTGCGACTCGTCCCCGGCTTTAGCTGTTTCTCTAATTCTTGTAGCCGTCCCAGACATCCTTGCAGTGAGGCTGCCAGATGTCGTGTCATAGGCACCCGTGAGTGGTCTGGCTGGTCCAAAGCCGTCTCAGGTAGCCAAGAACCCCTTCAGTGTCCACGATCTTCCTTTGTAGGTGCTCGACATCTTCTGTGGCATCTTTTACGGTGGCTGAATATTGAAAGCAGAGCGAGGAGACTTTGGCGGACATGTCAATTACAGCGAGGATGCTTGCTGCTGCTGAGAGACTATTCATGGGACCCGGCGGAAGCGATCAAGTGAGCAGATATTCAGCGGTTCAACAACGGCATGTCTGCCTATCTTCAGCCCAATGAGGTTCACTAATGGACAAACTAATCAAACGTTAAGCTGTCTTCTCAGCGCTTCCGCTTACGGAGTTAAGTTTTGCCGAATGTGTCTTGGCCTATACTCGGACTTGCAGCTTCAGCCGAAAGGTATTTCGGCGCCTCTGCCGACTGCAGCAGCCACAGCCACAAGCTTGGCATGAGACTCTCAGTAATCTTACAAGATCTAACGCTATTGTTACAGCAGGATAAATGATGGTTCCGCACTAACTCCAGACTGCTGACCCGAAGTACCAAGGCCCACGCCAAGCTTGCACAACTCTGCATGGTCTAGCCACGACAAGGCCAGTGGCGGTTCCCAAAGCACGGTCACGGGACTGGAAGCCTACGTGCGACATGTTCATGACCTTTATGGGCGGTCAAGACTCCATAATGACTCCGCAAGGCACTATAGCCGCAATTCGGTCAAAGGAACCCTCCCGCAAATAGAAGGCGTAGGCCGAGCTGATGCACGTAGTTTTTGATTGCAAACGGTTCAAAGTGTGGTCAGAAGGGCGCAGGTTGGATGTAAAGTAAATATTCGAAATATATCGCTATGTGCGCAGAGCTGCAGATGCTTGCAGTCCAAGTACCCATCACCTTTCTCGACACGGAGGGTGTCTCGCCACTCAGGGACGGACGTTAGAGGGTCTTTAGCAAATCAGCGGCCAATTCTTCCAAAGTATTATTTGAGAATCACTGTACCTTTTGACTAAGATTTTGGCCAACGAATAATTTTTTAGTGGGTCATATCTTTATCGACAAGTCGAGATGTGCTAAAACTTTGAAGTATCGTGTGACCACCTAGTGGGAAGTATACACGTTCTGATGTTTTCGACCGGTCAAAGATATTTATCAGGAAAGTTACTTTAAATTGATTGCTTCATGTTACAATGGCTAGAAATCGCTAGGTTGGCAGCCCCTTTTGGCTTGCCTATTAGAATCAGAAAATAGTTTCCCTCCGTGACCTTCTATAGCAACGCGGCTGTGAACTCTACAAAAAGAGCTGCACAATATAGATTTTGGCAATGAATATCGAGGAAACACCGACTGCAGCATCTAATAGAACTGTTAAAGTTACTGAGACTGTTAGGTTATTGCGTACAGCTCAATCGTCTCGAGTTCAATCCCAGTACTTGACTGCCGCAGAAGCAGATCAAATTAATGACCAATTTTCAAATACCGTGTTCAGACCAGGAGGTCAAGTGATGTAGAGTGGTGTACCACGAGAGTGGGCAACAAAATGGGCTGATAACAACAATATGCAGACACTCACCACCGTAATAGGCCCCTTAATAGATAAAGAGCATTCATTATGCTTGAAATCTACAAAGAGCGCAGAAGAATGGTCCATCTACGTTAAGGGAGCATCTGAATTATACGCACTCCATATCCCGAAGGGCAACGTCATCACTGTTCTCACAAGACCGCCTCCTCAAAGGTTGAACCCTACGGGCAAGTCTACTTACTAGACACTTGAAGAGCCGATATTGAAAGGTAGGAAGGGCGGCGAGCCCGTGTCCCGTATTGAGATGGTGCACCTCACGGTAGCAGGTGCACAGCAGTTCCGATATCAGGTGTGGCCGATAGATAAGATACATGAGTGGATCGAGAAATTTGGTCTGCATTCATTGATTCGGCCAAGCTCTGTGAAACCCAAAAAGAGTACACAACAGGTGACAGAGTCAGCCTCCAAATCAGAACTTACTATACAGGGCAAATCTAGACAAGAGACAGGGAAACAGATGGACTCGACAAAAGCGATAGCGAAGCAGGAAAGGGCAAAGGAAGAGGAAGACGAAGTGGAAAATGGCGGACATGAGGCCTGTGGTTTGAGAAACATCAAACAGACGGCAGCCATGCAGACGAGTTCGATACAAGAAAATGCCGTTCATAAGGAGACGAACAAAGTGAATTTGGCTATAAAGGATGAAACTAGGAAAGCTAAGCGCAAAGAGAAGAAACAGAGAATCGAGCCGTCGGAAAAAACAAAGGCTAGACAACCGGCGGCAAAGGACCAGACGACGAGGCAAGTACTGACCGAAGAGAAAATGCTTGGGAGAAAAGTGGCGAGTCTTGAGAGGGCAGCAGCCCAGATTATACCATTTCCAAGCGAGGTCACGAAGTCAAGAAAAGTAAAGATCTTAACATCGAGAAATCGTGTCGTCGTCTGTAAATACTAGATATGAAGACTTTCCCACCTCTCACTTTCCTGCTTCGGCCTTCCCTACACTTCTTCAGCGGTAATAATGACTATATTGCCCATTTCCTTTAAGCTTTCAGGACTGTAGAATTCTACAAAGTATCTTTTGCTGTAGAATTTGAGGACACTAAATGGCTGGAATTTGCGTCAACAGCGATCATTCTGAGTCTCCAAAGTACCGCAAGAAGAATGTTCCCAGTTATTCACTGCGGTGCCCCTTTTCTCTTCCTCCCATTATCCGCAAGCTTCTCCCGCAGCGTATCCCGCTGAGACCCTAAGATTCGCTGAGCGGATGATATCTCCGCTGAAATCAATTTGCCTCTTGAGCTCTTTAAGATTTCAGTAGATACGGATAAGATCTTATTTATTGTCTGCAAGTCTGCCACCTGCGTTGCATTCAACGCGTTCTGTCCACCCAATAAGTTCCGTTCAGCTCCGATTATTCGTGCCATAGCCTTGACAAGGGGAAGATGGACAATTTGGTGCTTTGAAAACCATACCGAATGGCTTGGATCTGCTTTCTCGGTGTCGTAGAGGCGGTTGAGTGCTTCTGCACGTCGATGCGTAATTCGCAGAGGCTTTGTAGAAGTTGGCGCTGGGTCATGGCAAGAGTCCCAGTCAATTTCCGGTAGAGGGTATTTGCCCGCGGTGAAAAGACCCCATGCGTTGTATTCCTGCTCAGTCATCTCGGTAACAGCGCTATCCAGAGGTTTTCTCTTCTGTGTCGTAGACGCAACATACTTCGTGACGGCAGCGATGCTTTGTCCATGACGGACAGTATCTGCCAGTGCGGTCAACTTTCGTGCGACATCTGCAATGGAGTCTTCGCTTTGAGGAATCTGCATGACTTTCGAGCCTGAATGCTTGTTGCTCCATTGATATTCAAACGATCAATGCCTTGCTAAGACGTTCTCGGAATATCGGAAAAGCCGTTTCCGAGAAGCTGGCGCAAACACGCTAGGGTTCTCTTTGACAAACTTTGACAGGATATCCTTGCGCTACGCTCGGGCCCATTATCTTACAATCACCTTTAAGCATTCTAAAGTCCCGTTCCTCTTATTTTCCTGCTCCTCGTTGACACATCTTCAAGACATCTAAAAGGAAAAACGGTATGAGGAGAGAAGGTGGGGAAGGGCAGGCGGACCCATTTTAATCAGGCCAACACCGGAGCCTAAACCGGCTGTGTGGACACCAATAAGTGAATAACTAACAGAAACTATTTTCAGGCACCGGGGTGGCCGAAAACAGCTGGTCTGGCGGCTGCTTTAAGCAGCCCAGGTACCGCGCAGGGCCCTGCTGAACCAACTTCCGAATGATGCACGCGCTAAAGAAGGCACTGCCAAGGGCCCCTGTCGAACTAAGGAATCCATGCTGGAATCCTCGCGCAGTGCCTTTCTGGCTTTCCCCACCTCATCTTTCCTTCCTCCAAGCAAAGCCTCTGCGAGGTACCGAAGATAAATGAGGCCTGGCGCCCATGTCTTTGACCTTCACTCCGTTCATTCCCCCACTTTCGTTAGTGAAGCAGGACTTCACTTTGGCCATTTGTCCTCTTCGTTACATCCTTCTGGCCTCTAGGTTGCAGCCACCCTTAGATCCATCTTGACCTGCGAACCCCTCCCACACCGCCCTGCTCGCTCACCACAGCAATCCTGCGTCATTCAGGCCGACGGCATGGGACGAGCACAGCGCAAAAAGGGCAGGCTGCCCCCCAGATTTTATCTTGAGCAGCGCGCCCAGCTCGCCGCACAAGGGAAGACTCGCCCAAAGGCTGCCGACAACACGAAGAAGGGCCTGGCATCGATATTGAAGAAGTGGGAGAGGTGAGTCGTCTTCCATCGAAGTCTGCGATCGCCGTCACCAACGAAGCCACCGCCTAGGTTTTGCGGCGAACTTGGTCATCATCCTTCAACTTTCCGCAAAGACGCACAAGTGCCAGACTTAAAAATATTTTGGAAATGGACGATGGATCGCTACAATAGGATCGGTGTGGCTTCAAGTTTGAAGAACTACTGGCGGGTTCTGAGAATGCATGCCCTCGACAAGGCCGATCGAGACTTCGATCCACACGAGAGAAGGGACATACACAATGTGAGATGCTGATTCCTGCGGGCTTGGGAAGCCCCACGCTGACGTCTCGGATGAACGCAGTATATCAATTTGCTCATCGACGAGTATGGCCTTCGCGTTCTCCCCAAGAAGAAACCAGTCATCGGCCTCGACGATCTCTACCTTCTCCTTTATACACACTGGGTGCTCGATGATTCGACATTCAAGGATGAGCGGCAGCGGGTTCAAGTTGCCACCGGCTTACTGACGGCCGCCTTTTTCGGTTGCCGACCGTGTTCCCTGTTCGACACTCGAGTCAAACTTGACGATCCCGATGACCCAAGCATAACCGCCGACGACACTGCGGTCGCCAGTGGCCGAGGAGCCGGAGAAGTGGTGAATCATATCAAAATGGACGAAATCAAAGACATGAAGAGCAACCGTGATGGTGATACTGGAATGTCCATTGACGCTGCTCATAAAGCCGACCGCGATTCCAATACGAGCTGGGATGGTGACAGCGACAGCGACAGCGATTCCGGCTCGCTTTACGACGACTACGATGAGGATTGCGACACCGACGATGATTATAATGCAGGGCCCGAAGAAACTCGGTCCTTCCTGTATCGCCAGGTGCAGATCCCGCCCGGCAGGAAGAGCTTAACGTTGAAATGGAGACGTCGAGTGTTGGATCTTCCGGTCTTCCAGGAGCCATTGCGCGGTGCGGGTGAAGCGGGCACATCACCGACCGCACCGTTGCGAGCTAGCACGTGGATCCGTTACCTGAAGCGTCTCGGCCAGAAGGCGGGCTTCGAACGTTCCTTCACCCAGTATGGGCTCCGACGTGGCCTCTTGAATGTTGTTAACAGTACGTTTGCCCTTTGATCCCCGCTTCGCAAAGAATCGTTCGAACATTAATCTCACGCGCGATCAACAGACAGCGCTCTCTCGTCGGTGCGAGATCAGCTCTTTGACCACCAGCAAGGAGCCGTCGGTTACTATCTGGATCAGGAGATCCGGTTCGACACCGAGTCCTGCTACCTGGAGAAGCCATCCAACGAGGTGGTCTAAAAGATGGCTAGGCTCGCTAGTTTGACGGCCGACGCGAGCGCCTCGACGGAGCTGTCGTCCGAGCAGAAGACCCAGTTGAAACAGCACCCTCAAGTAATCCGACTCGGCCAACGAACAAAGCTCTCACGGCGCGAATCCACGCGGCGGGTTACAAAACGATCGGCGACGCCGAAGGGACAACCCTTTATACAAAGAAGAAAACGGCCGAAGCTCGGTTGTGCTGCACCAAAATCAAACTGCGAAACGGCATGATCGCAAAAGCGCGGAAACGACACTTCCGGACCGCTGACACTCTCGCCTTTGACGCTCAATTTTCCTCCACCACCGCCGCTCCCACGGTCGCACCGGACCCCCCACCTACGAAACCGATCGAATACAACATCCCCGAGCGAGCCGAGGTGGTCCGACTGACCTGCAGTCCCGGCGACGGTCTGAGCGATCGAAAAAGGCTCCGGCGAAGAGTCCAGGCCATCGACGGGAAACCCCGCGCCGCGGTCGGCCCAAGTCCACCGTCAAACAGGAGGAGTCGGAGAGTGCGATGAATGATTCCGAGGAAGACGCGAAAGATCATTTCCCACTGGTCTGCCGGCCTACTCAATGCCCGTTCTGCTTGGGTGACGAAAGGCTGCCTTACCTGCATCGGGTACTCCAAACCCAACCGGATGATGAACGAGGTGGGCAAGCACTTGAAGAGCTTCGCCCCGGAAGATCCGGTCCCGTGTCCGCATCCACAGTGCAAATCAGCGGGACTGGTCCTGCCTAGTGCGATGGTTTTCAAGAATCATACGGCGACGGTGCACAAGATCTTTTTGCGTGCGTAGACCCGACTTGCATTTTCTGCAATTTCTTCCTCGTCAGTCGCGTTTTCCCAGCGATGGTTTAAGGAGCAATATGTTTATATCTGCACTGTATCAGTCTGCCATTATTGAAGCTACAAATAGATAATAACATCTACGCAGGTTTATCCCTTGAAAAGGTGATAAGCCTGATGACACCACTTTTGCGACCGTCAAGATCCAAAAAGGCTCGCAGCTGGGAGCAAGTTCGCCGTGGAATGTGACTTCTCATTGCGTCTCTTTCTTCCTGACTCTTGGCTAGGTCGAAAAGCTGGAGCCGTCACGAGCCACTTCCACTGCTTCACATGATCCACTCAGCCTTCTAGCCTATATTGTGTCCAGGGCGCCTCGCGGTCCCTCTGAACGGTCCGAAACATGAAGTTCGGCGGCCGGTAAGTAGAATCATCCACCACCCACTGGTCTGAACCGCCATCCCTTCGAACATCCCACATTGTCATGTAGTCCCGGTTGCGAGTTCTGTGACGGACCTTGAAACCAAATTATCCATCCCAATGCCTAGCTGCTTCAAGTGGTCGAAGCAAGTGCTTTAGTACTGCCCCAGCTTCCAACTCGTCCACCATATCTTTGCTAAAAATCTTCCGGTTCTCAAAGCTATAATCACTCAATCTCTTGACCGTGGGGAAAATCTGGACATGGTTGCGACGGCTGCGCCCCCATTCAATAAGATCAATGATGTTGACATGGCGACCGTGAACGGCCTGAGCCTACCATCAGCGCTCGTGGATCGTGAGAAGGGTCTGGAGGGCGGCCTACCGATCGACATAGCACAATGGTTATGGGGAGCGGCGATATACGGACAGCCCGGCAAAGGGATTGCCACGCGTCTAGGGTGTCCTCGACGCCAAACCACAGGTTAAACTCCTGGGTCAGAGCAGCTTGGTAACTGCGCCACAGTCCATCGTGCTCTGGGCCTTTGACTGCCCATCTGTAACGCCGCTGGAGATGATTTCGAAGCAATCCAAAGGAAGTAGCCGGCGGCGCGGATGGATCGTAATGGAAAGAGGGATAAAGGCAGAAGAACTTATCTAGGGCGCCTTCGATAGTCGACGGCTTTGACTCGGAGCTAAAGCATCGATGATATGTTTTTTCTTGGATTGCAAACACAGCTTTGCAAGATAGACAGGTCCAGGTTTTCTTCACTGGCGCTACTGATTTGGTCGAGGTAACATGCAGGTGGTCTAGAAGAACCGACGAGTTAGACATTAGCTTTTTTGCATGTGCCTTTCCGGTAAGATGGTCAGATTTGGAACCCTCCTGCATCGTCCGGCCGCAGACTTTGCATATCCATAAGGCAGCGCCGGTTGGGCTTGATTCACTGTGTGTTGTATGTGCAGGTTTGACTTCTGCCTGAATCGTTGAAGAAGCGTACTTAGGATATGACCACGTACCCCCATGCATACTTTTTTCTGCGGAGACAGATCCGAGACCTTGGAATTCAACAGGCACAGATAAGTAGGACTTAGACTCTTCACCTGCAGGAGGATAAAGAAGAGTGAGTTCCTCGAAGCGGGATGCTAAAGCCCTGGCATTAAAATCCGACAAGTGAGCTATGTGTTCATCACCAGCTAGATGTGACGGTCCGTCGTCAATCGCCATGGTAAGGGAGCAGATGGTACATGTCCACATTGTACGTTCCATCAAGCTTGGAAATGCAATACTGGCAGGATTGCAGAGGTGGGAATAGGAGGACATGGCAATTAATGTTGGCTACTTCAGCCCGATGAAGCTCGCCTCTGGACTCCCCTGCGGTTTCCTTTCCCCTACGGCGTTTCTTGCCCTAGAATTCTGCCAACCCTAGGGTATACCTGTTTATCGATTCTAGTAAGACGCTTAGTCTTGGCATTGGTTATAGTTTCGCCTTTCCGAGAGGGATCTCCAAAAGATACTGAGGAAGCGTTGGGTTTTAAAGAGAAATCGGCAATTTTGAAGGGTCGGAAATGATTCCGAAAGAAGGTCTCCAAGTTACGCAGTCGTACATCACAACTGACCGTCTCAGAGAGCGCTGTAGTGAGGGCAGGGATCAGTCCAGCAATATCTGACGGCCACGGCATGATGCCCGCGACACGGGTGTCATCATGCCCTTCTTCAATGCAAGTGTGTTGCGCGCAAGACGCAGCTCGTCAAGACCATGATATCCTGGCCGGCTGCATCCTTTGGTTGCCTAGGAGAGATGAAATTGATGAGCACCTTCTCGTGGGTGCAGATATCGGTAATGGCTGCTTCAATCACCCTATCGTTGTCTTATCCGCCGATCAAGTGGGCGGAAAGGCTACTGTACTTATTGTCAGCATTCCAACCCAAAGGTTTCTGAACTACCTTTCGAACTCGCAGCTAATATTAGAAGCTTACTTCCTTTGATGGCCAAGATCTTGCAAAAAGACATCCGGAGAACCGCCATCTCCGCGACCACCACCTCCCTATCTTTCCCAGTGCTGCACACCCTGATAATGGCATCCTATTGTCCCTCGACAGCGACCTTCAGCTCCGCAAAAAGTCCTACATTAAGACGGAGGTTCAAGTTATCATTAATGTGGCGTCCTTGATCCCATACAATCGCACCGGTAAAAAGTACAAACTCCAGCAAAAATCCTACCATACATTAGCAACATACATCAACTTCACGCCACCTACGGCAAATCCTCGCCCGCGGCGCGACCTTTCCAATCAATTTTCCGTGTACTCTCCACCTTCGAGTCTCCCCATACATGCTGGCCCCCGCCCTTCCTCTCGGACAATTCAACGAACGCCACCACAGATACCACCAACCCGTTATTACAGCCCGGTCACTTCTCAAGCGCCTGCCCCACCTCCATCGTACCTGATCCCCATCGTCACCAACACACGCCAAGATTCCCCGCTATACAGCGTTCCTAGACGTGACAGGCGGACACCGCTACCGCCCTACACTCATCCGTCTAGCACACCATCGCCATCAAAGCCGGAGCCGGGTTTCGATATTCTTGTAGCATTCATATTTTCTCTGGTCTTCTTGGGTTTCCTGGGCGCTGTGAGCTATGAGGGCTATCGAGTTTTCCTTCGTGGAAGATGGGCCTTGAGGGAGATCAAAGGTAAATGGAGCGAGGCTCATGAGGTTTTGATGAGAGCGAGACCTCTGGAGTATATCAAGGCGATCTTTACAAAATTCGGTCCCTGCGTTATGAGGGAGATGAAAGGGGAATGGAGTGATGCTTAAGAGATTTTAGTAAGAGCGAGACCTTTGGAGGATATCAATGCGACCTTTACAAAATTCAGTTTCTACAGTATGTCCAAAGGGTTGGACAGCATCAGATACACCGACGCTGCTATCTCAGAAGCTTTCACGCGGTCCTGAACCGTTTGGTGGAAGGGAAATCTTTGCAACTATCCATCCTAGTCAAAGGAACAGAGCACAGTGAAAACTGGACAAGGGCATATTTACGCGTGGATTACGTGTGCTCAAAAAGATTCGACATAGGTATTTGCTGGTTTCGCAAGCTGATCCCAACAAGGTGAATGCTCACGTATTTTCCTAGGGTCTCTTTCGTCTCCATCGAGGGATGTCTTTGGTTCGCTTTTCGCGCACGTACAACGCTGGTCAAGTTTCGCGGGCAACAAGTGGAGTCCTAATCTCTGATTTGCTATCTACCTACCGAACTCTCAACACATCCAAGTCAATCAAGTCTGGGTCATGGAAAATTTCCCCACCACAGGACTGTTCGGCCCTGTTGGGCATGAAATCCTTCGAGCGTTGACCTTCGAGCGGGCGTCCGAAACTGCTTTGGCCAACTCCTCCTCATGCTCCTTCTTCTCCAATACTGCTTGAATCCAAACGTGGGATGTTGGGAAAAGTGCGCTGCCATGGTGGACGATCACGGTTTCACCACCTGAGGTTATTTGGAGAATGTTTGGGAAGAGACAAAGTGATGGGATACCCATTGTGTCAATCTTTTCATCTGGTGGCATGGATCCCCCCACAGAACCCCGGATGTCTTCCGCTTGCCATTTCTCTTTGTCGCTAGGATCGGGGCGCTTTTCGACAACAAACTTGGCCTCGTCCTTCCATGCGGTTTTCCACAGCGTGATTGACTCGTTGATAATTTTGACCAAATCATTCTCAAATTCCACCAACTCGGATGAAACAGTCAACGGTCGAAGAATCTCGAGGACTTGGTGCAACGTGGATTCTGCTCGGCTCGATTCTACACTCAGATCGTCAATGCCACGTAAGGTCAGGACTCTCCACGCGCTCTCACTTCGCCCGCCCGACTGGGAGAGCGACTTAGAGACTTCTTCCAAAAATGGACCCATTTCATCGTTGTTCGGTAGACTGTCTCGCGGAAAGAACGGTCGCCATATAAAATCGCACAGGCAAACAGAAATGACATGTTGAACGTCCCTCAGCCTGAGGAATTCTGAAATTTCGGTCTGCCAGATAGGCGTCGAGTCAAAGATAGGATCCAATTTGCTTAACTCCTGATGAACAGCGTCCGGGTTCTGTGTCCCATCCGCATCGATAAGCTAAGGTGGATCGAATCACGAATCACGCGGGTATTGACTTACCGCCATGGCCTGTTCTGGAAGCTTCTGAAAATACTTCGATGATACGGCTTTGATGGCATCAGATATACGCTGGAACTTCTCCGTGCTGAAAACGCATCAGCAGCTGGCTATTGTCGCTTTATGGAATTGGATCAAACGGACTAGTATTCGACCGATTGTCCTTCGACAGGGAACTCGGACTTTACTTGTTTGAGCTCCGCAGTCAGCTTCTTATTGTCCTCCTCGAGGCTCCTTTCCACTCGGGTATGTCGTATCTTCTTTGTCTCTAGTTTGTGTTCGGCTTTTAATAAACGTTGCTTCAGCTCTTCATTCGTTGCCAACAGTTTTTAATTTTGTTCCTCCAACTCTTCGACTTTCTCTTTGCTTTCAGCTTCGATTTCTGCTTTCTTCGCTCTCATGGACTTCTGAAATTTGGCTTTCTCGTCCTGTAGTTTCCGTTTGTACTCTTCCTCTCTACCTGCCTCTGCTTTGGCATGCCGAGCCTCCAGCTCCGCTCCCATCCTCTGGCATGTCTTCCTTTCCCTTTCACAAGCTTCTTGACCAGCTTTGAGTTCTTCATTCTCACGACGGAGGTTTTCCATCTCCTCGCTCTTGACATGAGTCAGTGTCTCCACAGTCTCATTCAATCTTCGAATTGCATTCTCCCTGTCCATCTCCGTCCTATAAGCTCCTTCAACCACGTTGATGTCATAGGTGAAAGAGGATTCGAAGTACTGCACGATATCTGCGAGGCGCTGTAGGGCCCCATTGGAGGAAGCTAGTACAGCAGCTGGATTTCGAGGACCTTCGGTATTGCTGTGGCTGAGGTCAAGACTGTTGGGAGACCTGAGTTCCTGATCCTTCGCTTCATCTGATGTTATGTCTTTGCGCTTAGTCGACCCGCCACCGACACCGTTCGTACGTTTGGGCATCGTATTCCGACCCTAGAAAGTTCTCGACCCCTTCAGTTATTTCCAACTCAGAGATGGAGCTTCATCAAAATCGGTCGTATCGAAATATTTCGCTTACGCCTGCTTGACCTTGGGCACCTCCGAAAGAAGAGTCCGTACGGGTGGAGAGGCGACGCAGGAGACCGTTGAAGGCAGAGTGAGTCTTCGAAATGGTGCGTCTTCTCTCGGTCGAAAAGTCGAGGATCTGTGGAGGCATAGAGCCTATTACCAAAGCCTGGGATAGATGACCAGAGGTATTCGGGTGGACAAAGGTTCAACATGGAGGACGTGAATATCCCGTCCCGCGGATTTGGATTTTCGGGGGGAACGATACACAACGCCAGATCAAGATAAAGGTTGCATTGAGGTGTGGATGAAGGTCCAATTGCGTTGGCCAACGTGGCACACTGATGGACATGCTGCCCAAGACGCTTGGCGTTAAGCTCGCTCTCCCAATAATAGGGTAGAGTCAATTGTATGCTAATTTTTGCCCACGTACAATATGCCACAAAAAGCTGAAGTCTTACAGGCAACCGCCGCGTGGCGCACTCCAACTCGTGAATGTGAGGTGATTACGTAAAGCTTGTCACTGCGGGGTAGAAATCTGAGGAACTAATGCATTCCTCTAAGAGTCGATTCCACAAGAATGCTACAGCCATATAATTTAGACGTAGAATCGGAGGCAGTATTGGTGATAACCGAAGAAGTGGTATGAAGTGCAGAGTGGTAGGCTTAGTCCAAAAATCATCGAGGATGGATACATGTTGATGGATTTGGCAGAAAGCGTCAGCTTTGATAACGCAGGGGATGGGCGCTAACGTGCAACTAGTCCGGAAGCAACGCTGATCGGATCTGCCATCCTAATGGTTAGAAAAACGATGTACGACGAAGAAATTGTTAAACGAATTAATGAAGTCGGAAATAACGAGTGACTGAGATGTAGTGTCAACACACCGACTTGATTGCTGGCCAAGTAGACAGAGCTTATACTGGTGTCTAGCTTGCCGAAGTTTTAGCCCGCTTCCCTTCCTTTAGCGTCCATACGATCATTAATGTTATCCAAGCGCTGAGCCAGCTCGGGTTCTCCCGTGCCCTCCATTAGTTACGGTATATAAGGCTAAATAATCACGTAAGACCCTCGAAACGTAAAGCCTCCAGGTAAGATAAAGCATGTTGTGCAAACAGCAGTGCGAGCCTAGCATTATAATCTGCAGGTTGATTCTTTTGGGCATTTCTTGGCAGAACATACAGTGCTGACTCATTGTTTCGTCCGAGGCAAGTTCGAAGCTTTTTAGTGATGTTGCTACTTCCTCATTTAAAGAACTCAGTGGCCATACTCTTAGCCTTCAATTTTGCCTGGCTAAAAACCCTTTTTGTCCTCTGCAGTTTCCAGCCAAGACGAATCAGAGACAAAACAGTCTAATTTCAAGTATTACGCAAATAACCCCGTCACCCTCGCCATCTCCATCTGAAATGGAAAAAGATCTCCTAGAGTGCTTTGAGAAACGCCGTCCACGCTCTTTTGGCGGTCAACCCTGCTGCTCCCAGATCGACTTTGCTTCAAGTCTAGCTTCGCAGGGGATAATCCTTGTCGATGTAATGTTGTAGCCTTTGACCGTTCGAAGTCGATCAGCATCGCCCGTTTTGCCTCTGCGCTCCAGAGCACATTGGGCCACCGCACATCTTCGTGCAATACCCCAGCACCATGGATTTCTTGTAGCGAGCGGAGCATCTCGCCACCTTGTGTGAATCCGTCGGTTCCTTCAAGCTTGGCATTCCTTAAAGGCCCTCCTGCCCATGCAAGAAACGTCATATGCACGATATCGACGCCAAGGTCGTAGTAATATGGGTCGACAAGGTCGATATTGCCGAGACAAACAGGTACGCATACCCCTTGAAGTTTTCGTAATCGCTCATACACCTGCCATTCGTGTCGGAGATGTCGTACGGACTCGGCCACAGTGCCCTTCGCCACCATCGTGTAACTGTATGACCGCAGATAAACTTGGAAGAGCGCCCCTCGGGCTCCTTGTATGTCTAGAGGGTGGCAGTCATGATCTAAGTCTTTGCTAAACTGGTGCTTGAAAAGAGCCAGGAGGGTTTTGCCATTCACCGGGTGATAGTCGTTCACATCTGTATTATCGCTGTGCAAAGAAATGTTGGGGCAATTTGGGTCCAGCTTTTCTCCTCGCACTAACCCCAGCAAGCATTTTTGAGTGCAATAAGGCCGAGTCCGGCCACCTCGTGTGGATCGACCTGAACGCTGGCCACAAGAAGATCGAGAGGCTTTTCGTCCAGTCTCTCCTCGGGTCCCGCGCGCTGAAGCCGGTATATCAGCCGTGCGAGTTTGTTCATCAGACGGGCCAGGCGACGATTCATCCCGTTGGCCAGTGGGATCGGATCCTGGGCGACAACTTCCTGAGCTTTGATTTTTCCCCTTGGAACGAGTCACGGCGGGGGACGAATCAGGGTTTGGATGTCCGGTTGAATAAAACGGTCGATCTCCTTTGGAGGATTTTTGGATTGATTCGGGCACCTGGGCCAGTCTCGCGATGTCGTCGGTTTCCCATTCGACCAGCCCCTCCAGCGCCTGCTTCCTCCAGCGCTGCGTGCGCGGCCGCGAGCCCAGCGCCAGTAAGCAGAACGTGAGCACCTGGCCGACCGCGCTCCGAAGGGGTCGCAACCCGTTATCCGCATCCTGCTCTATGTCGGCTTCGGGCATAGTCAGGTGGTAGTACAGCGTGCTGGGATCGTCTTTTTCATACACCTGGAGAAGAAGATAGAGGCAGACGCTGTGTAGTCAATTGAAGCTAATATTACTACGTGATAAATTAGTTCCTTCCGGCAGGGTAAATATATTTCAGGCTTCTTTAATATTGTTTTAATAAGATAAGCTTTATACTTTATTAAGCTACTTATTAATTTTATCCTTTTTTATTAACTTTTCTATTTCTCTTTATAGTATATTAGTATTTTCTTTTTAGTTTTAATTTTGAAGCTAACTTTTTAAAATATTTATAAATTTAAAAACCTAAAAATATTATATTCCCTATTAATTTATAATTATTTATATTGTTTTTTATATAATTTACTTTGCTATTAAAGTTTTTTTTTAATTAAATTAATTATAAGAAATAATTTTTATATATTTAATTTTTTTAACTATTTTTTTAATATATATTTTATATTTTTAAAGTAGCGAAAAGACTTTTAATACTATTTTCTTTATTTCGTTATAATGTTTTTATTTATTTAAATTATATACTAAATTAAGTATTACTTATAAAATTAAAACTTTAAAAATACTATTAAATTAAGTAAAGAAATTTCGAAAAAGCTATTCTTTTTTAAAATAATTTATAAGCTTATATATATGTTTTATATAATTAAAATAAATAAATATAATAAGTTAATTAAATATTCCGAATTTATTTTTAAAAATATTAATAATATATTTCTAAATTTATACTATAGCTTAGTTAAAAAATTCTAAGTTAAGTTCCCTAAAAAGCTAATATATTTAACTTTAAAAATATTTTTTTTAATAACTTTTATAAATATTTTTTTAATAAAATTATAAAGAAAAAAAGTTACTTTAAAAAGCTTAATTTATATAAAATAAATAAATACTTCGAAAAAGTAAAATAAAGTTTAAAAATATTTAGCTTAAAAGATTTATTTAATAAAAATAAAAGCTTTAAAAAATAAGTAGTAAAACTTAATATATAATTTTTTTTTATAAATATAATAGTAGTAAAGTAATATAAATTAAAACTATTATATAAATTATTATATAATTTAGTATTATTTAAATTAAAAAAGGTCTTATATTTATTTAAAATTATATTTTAATAAAAGTTTTCGAAATATATTTTAATATTATAGAATAAATTTTTAATAATTAATAGAGTATAAAGTAGAAATAATAAATATAATATTCTAAAGCAGTCGGAGAAAATTTTTTAAACGTTATTATAATTAGAATAGAAAATAAACTCGTTATCGGCGGATAAAACTATAGCAGAGATAAGTCCAACGTTTTAAGTAATATATAAAGATTGTTGGCTCTCCGTTGTCGGTAGTATCTAATCGATGCTTTGACTTAGTGTTATCGATAGGGTCGAATCGATACCGTGGCTCTATGTTGTCAATAGGGGTGAAGCTAAGCTGAGGCTCTGGGGTGAAGACGATCCAGTATCGCGTGCTGGGGAATGGCTATCAGTGACTTGTTTCTCTCCGGCAACGAGATCCTGGCATGACTGGGCCGTGGGAAGTGATGGTCTCTGAGTCCTCGTATCTGTTCTCTGTCGCTTCCCTAGTGATGTCTCTTGGGCTGATTTTCTTTTGCATGGTCCTGATGCAATTTCGCAAGCTATATTCATTAGTCAACTATAGAGCAGCAACTTGCATACACTTACATTCAATGTTTCGTGCACTGTTAATCTGCTGAGGTAGAATTGGTAGAATCCATTGCCCATAAGACTGTGCTGGAACAGCACACTGGAAGGGCGCCTTTAAAATTGCCTCGATGCTCCTTCCAAGTTCTACCGCACCCGACTGTTGGGCCTTCTCCAATATGCCAAAATCGAGTAGCAGCTTTGCAGCTTTATCGTATGCATTTTGGGGAAGGTGTTTTATCCAACTGGGACCGTTAGATGAGGAAACTATTGTTGGAACATGTACTTACATCCATTCGCTAATGTCTGGATAGAAGAAGTAGCAGCAGCAAAGGCCTCCCATCCTATTCGCGAGAGCTCGATATTTTGCACCGGCCTTTGCCCAGCTGATGATGTCCTTTTCGACTGCATCTTAATCGCACGAGGGCGACTCGCAAATGACAGCTACCACGAATGCAACCGCCTCTTTGGTGATGGAATACCTGTCTAACTGGGACAGCGCAGAGATAACGTCGTAATATACAGTCGTGATAAATCTCCATAAAATCTTGTTGGATATGGTAGAAGTACGCACAGATAGAGCGTAGTCGTAGTGCTCCTTAATGGATAATGGAACTTGGGAACTGTCACTCCGCAAGAAGGCTGAAGGGTCTGCTTTCCATATTTCAAACGGCTCAGCAATTTCTGGTGGCAGAGCGACCTCCTCTTCTTTGATTTCCTATAGAGGCCGAGTTCGGTGATCTTCGACCAAGGCTGCATTTGATAAGGCTCTCTGGCCCAACGAGACTGAACTCGTCCGTGAGGCTACGTCTGACGCGGTCGATATGGCTGTGGCAGCGCCCAACGTAGTGGTATTGGTACCTGCAGCGGCGGTCTCTTGTGGAACATCCTCTTGTGCTGATGTTCCTACAATAGTATCCTGGAGTAGAGGACCCTCATTAGATGCAGAAACCGGTCGTCTTTTCGAACATCTTTTCGCAGGGATTTTTGTTAAAAGTTTGTGCAGATTCCTCTGGACATTTTCATCAAGCACTGGTACGGCTTTCCGTAGTCTTTCAACAAACTGATTACATGTAAGATACTATTGATACGCTTAAAATTCATTAGGAAACACCTTTTCGTTGGATAGTAATTCCTTCAAAATTGAACCCTTAAGGTCTGACTTAACAGCCTTGCTAACTTCGGCGCCCATTTGGTGAAGCGGAGTGGTGGTTAAGTGGTGGAGGATTTGGCACCGAAATTGACTAGACCTGATCTCAAAACATGCCATATCTGGTTTAGCGTGCCAATGCCATTTCCAAGACTACATGCACGAGAACACATCTCCCCCTCTTGCGACTTCGTCCTATCGGAAGTGCAACTTCTTCGCCAGGATTAACACGTTGAATAGCACTACTTGCGCTATGGGGATATATTGCTCCATTTTCTCAATGAGGCGAAGAATTTCCCCTTCAAAGACCTATCATCAATGTTCAGTCTGCCGCTTTGCGATATGCTTTGTTGTGCACCGCCTTTGGTAATGGATGGTTGCTTTTCTAGTCGGTGGGGCGGACAAAACAAAACACCAAGCCCGTCTATCGCAAAATCAAGCATGTCTACGGTGAGTTAGGAGACTGTAAAAGCCGATGGACGGCCACAGAGAACGGGTCCGAGGGATATGAGCTAAAATTCGCCAAGCGTTTGAATTCATTAAGTGGCGGAGCATCGAAATTGAAGCCCAATTCCGAAAGGCGTGGCAGAGATTCTCCTGTACGTATAGAAACAGAAGTATTTCAAATGTATACATATAAGCTTAAACCTCTCCTATTCTTAATAATTTATACAAACGCTACCTATTCTGAATCCTCTTCTGAATCCTCTCCAGGGGGTATGTTGGCTATAGCGTTATCAAAGGCTTCAATAATGGGATCATACAGCTCCTCTGGTGGCTCTGGCGGAGTCCCAATGAGCAAACCGTTCTTGTAAGGCAAAAGGATACCCCGTATCGTTTTACACAGAGGCTTGACGCAGTCAAAGGATGTTGGAAACTCATTCAAGATGTCCTCGAATCCGTCCACGTGCATGTAACCTCGTTTTGCGTCCGCAATATCATCGAAGCTGCCCGTATACTATTTTGTCAGGATGTTTCTTTTGGGCCGATCCTCCGGCTTGCACTTAAACTCCCTTTCCCATGTACGACGAGCACACATCCATAGAAGCACGTAGAAAAATGACTCAAGATCATGTCGGTAGGTGTGAGCTATCCGCTGAAGCACTTCGATCGCCATGAACTCCATTGTGCCTGTCTGATGCCGTGCGCCGCTTCGTCCGCTACCGATCTCTTTGGCAAGGTCCTCATCGATCAACATGCCTTTAAAGCCACCTGCTTCCTTTCGATCTGTTATAATAATGTTGTTCTCTGAGATATCTCGATGTAATATTTTCCCTTTTATGTATAAAGACCTGTGCGCCTTGATTGCGTCGCGAAGGGCCTTCAGCAGCTCTCTGATTGACCGAAAATCCCGGATGGCGCGACCAGCTGGCGAGATCACCAAGCAGCGGAAAATGCGGTTATCAAACGAACTGTCATCATAGGTATAGAGACTCGTCGTCTGGCTGTTTACCTCCCGGTCCCGCTTGGCTTTATTAGGGCTCTGGCTGTTAGACCTTGATCTCTTGGACGGGCTGCCTCCAGCATCGACCGACTTTCGTTTCTTCGGTAAATCTCCAGCGGTGTCTAGGCTGCAGATCTGACCAAATGATCGAGGGAGGAGAGACTGAGATTGCGAAAAGGAGGATGCAGGGCTCAGCGTGGTATTCCGAAAAGCGTACGCCTTCCCAAATGTCAACCCCTCGCGCATATCCGCAATGCTGGTGATGCGATGGTGACCGAATAGCTTGGCAACTCCCTCCATTCCTCTTTCGCGTGCCAACCTGAGGAGTTCGGCTTCCGGTCGTCGCTTGTCGGAAACCCAGGAAAATTTAGCGACATATTGAAAATTCTTGGAGCTGGGAGTTTTGGCGCGAAAGCAAGATGTTCCGCGACACACAATCGCCCGTTGATAGGCAATGGGAGCCGAGTCTAACTGCAATCTCCTCTCCTTGCCCGTCGCATCTTCCACGACGGTGATAAACTGATCACCATCATCTTGCTCAATGAAAGTGTCAAGACCCAACTCTTCGTCGCTCATCATCACATATGCTGCAATCGTACGGATGAAACGCTCTGGCTCCTCATGGATATTGAAAGCAGTTGAGCTATAAGGACCAGAGCGATCGAACACCCATGCTTGCATATTATTCCCTTGGAGAATAAAGGCATGGACATATCGGCGAGTCGGCTGAATGGAGAACACATCGCGGACGTATCTAGCAATTTGAAGCAGCTTGGCTTTCGTAATGTTCTTCGTCTTGTCGGTCTCCGTAAGTTCCCCAATCACTTCGACGGTTTTCCAATCATGCACTACCTTCGACAGCTTTTCGTTGCTGGGCTTGACGAACAGATCGATTTGACGTTTGGCCTCGCAGCCTATAAGATCTCTGGTGGTGCTCGTGTAGTAAACGCCGCGCTCACTCGATAGGAACTCGTCTTGGAAATCAAACCACCATTTACAGACCTCATTTTGTACTGGTGTCTGAGGGAAATCGGTCCACCGTCCGTCCACATGTCTTTCTTGCACGGCTTGATATATTTCCTTCGTACGCTCAGTCCAAGGCTTTCCCTCAAAATGCTTTGAGAAGAAGCCTTCGACGTTCTGATATGTGCATCCCCTTATCTCTTCGAAGATCCTTCCTTCCACCAATTTCTGAGTTTGCTCACCACCCTGCTGCGAGGAGGATGAAATTGTGACGGGAGTGCCATCGAAGGAGGGAGGAATACTTGTGGGAGGGGTTGTTCGGGAGACAGAGATGATAAGGTCAAAGACGGCGTTCCAGATGTCGACATCGGAGGCTTGTTTGACGACAAGTCGTGATAGCGCACGATAGTGCTCGTAATTGTACCGGCCGCGTTGGACATGTTTGAAAAGCTCGGAGAGCTCAGTGGCTACATTGTCGTTTCCGATCTTTGAGCGAAGGTCGTAAGCAACCTTGTGACCCATTAGAGCAAGCAGAAGTTTTGATATTGCCTCTTGCGGTTCATAGTCGGAACTGTCAGCAGCGTCATCGAACGAAAGGGAACCCGGCTTGTAGCTCTGCTCTGATTTTCGAAGTGGCTCCCGTAAATGATCGAGAGTGTCCAAAGGATGCTTTGCGATAATGACGCGATCATCTGGCGAGAGGTTGGCCATGTCTCGATAGGAGGCGCCAGGCCCTGATCGGTGTGAATATTATATATTATTGCGGGTTGCCAAACGAGAATGCAGGCTGTATTGAATCTGTGATGGCGATGGGTTGGAAAGGGTGGTAGAAGGGAGAGGCGAAACAAGCGCGAGATGGAGATTTTTGTATGACTAATAGGCTGTCAAGGGCAACCAATCGCTTCTGGGAAGCTCTAGCTGCGCGCAAATCTCATCCTCCAAACTGCCAGCTGCCCAACCCCAAATGCTCGCTCTCCCACCACCACGATCCCTATCATAAGGGTTCTCATCCCCTACTTTGCCCTCTATACCTAACCTTGTTTCTGTCTCACCTTTACCCATCCGCCGTTCTTGTCGCCAAGCCTCCTGTACCAACCGCCGGCCACAATAAGGCAAATCACAACGTGCTTCGTTTGACTTAACGAATCAAGCGGATTCGTAATAACTCCATTGGTACAGACCGTACAAAGGTCAACACGCTTGTGAAAAGATCGCGCTTTCATCTGTCACGGCCGAGCAAGTCCGAGGATAGTTACAGGTCCCATAGTCTACATACAAAAAGCAAACGCGTCTCTCGATAAAATATTATTATGGACGTCGATGATGTCTCCCACGTCGGCCAGTGGGTGCAGCTTTTGGAAAAGCAAAAGGTTGCACTTCAAGCTGCAAGTAAACGAAAAGGCGAGCGGCCCAAGGACCGAAGGTCTCGCGGCCAAATTATCCACGAATTCATGTTGCAGTCTGCGAGCACGACCATGATGTACCGGAAGAACGATCATCACATGATACACCAATCTTGGGTCGCTACTCCTTATCCGCCTTCTGTGGCGCCTTTAAGAAGCCTCAAGAAGCTTTACCTCAAGGATCTGTACCTGGAGACCCACCATCGAGGTTTCTACGTTTTACTCAGAGTTGCGACGCCTCCAGTAACCATGACTGCCGTCATGGCTGTCATGGAAGATGAGAAAGACGATGGAGTGGTATTTCAGCTATTTCAGCAGGAAGACGAAGATCATCGGCCAGGTGAAGAGGTAGTCCAGATACAGCGCGTCTGCATCGTGAAAGAACCATACTTCAAAGTGATGAATGATGGAGGCTATGGCTTGCGGGTCGATCATCTCAGCGATATTATTTGGCTTTCCCCAGACGACGAAAGAATCCCTCTTGGCTGGCGAGCACAAATCAGCAAATTCGAGAAGACTGCCGAAACCTTGAAAGAGGAGGGCAACCTCGCCGTGAAGGCGGGCGAGCTGAATGTTGCAATCGAGAGGTGAGCTCTTTGTTCCTTCGAACCCGCCTCATCATAGCTGATCCCAGCGCATGAAATTAGCTACACGTCAGCCCTTCACCGTTCAACTACATTTGAAATGTCACAGATTCTCAAGCTCAATCGATCCTTGGTCAATCTCAAGCTTCGGCATTATGATGAAGCTTTGGAGGATGTTGGAAAGCCCACTGCTGACGCACAGCAATCAGAAAAGGGCTTCTACCGTGCAGCTCTCTCTTTGTACGAATTAGGGAGATTCCAACAGAGTCACCAGGCTTTGGCATCTCTTATTTCACATTATCCTCATTGCCATGCGGCAAAGAAGGAGATTATTCGCACGAAGCAGAGGTTAAGGGAGCAAGAGCTTGGCGATTACGACTTCGAAGCAATGTACGGGGCCGCCAAAGACACACCACCTTGTCTTGACAATGCAACTTTCGCTGGCAACGTCGAAGTCAAAGTTTCAAACGGTCGTGGACGTGGTTTATTCACCACGAAGGACGTGATTGCTGGGGAATTACTCCTCTGCGAGAAAGCCTTTTCTTACTGCTCCTCAAAGCATTCGAAAACGAGCCTTCTAATGAATACTCATACAAATCGAGCCACCCTTGGTACGCAGGCAGACCTTATCACAGCTACAGTGCAGAAGATGTTCCGGAATCCGTCACTCAGGCCGGTATTTACCTCGCTGCACCACGGAGACTACAAGCCAGTTGACGAAGCAGAAGTTGATGGCATGCCAATCATTGACACGTACATTACCTCTACCACCCTAAATTTACTCTTATATTGCTAATTGCTAGGAAGCTTCCTTGTCGATCGTATTGTTTCTCTCAATGTTTTCGGCTGCCCTCGCACATCGCTCGAAAGCCACACTACTAAATTGACTTCCGAGCCAAAAGATCAGTCAAAGTCTCATCATACATGTGGCATCTTCATCAAGGCCTCCCATATCAATCATAGCTGCTGCAGCAATGCACGACGCAGCTTTATCGGTGACATGTAAATCGTACGTGCTACCTGCAATATCTCAGCAGGCTCAGAGATCTTCTTCTGGTACGCTATCCCGGGGCCTAGTCATACATACGAGAAGACACAGGAAAAGCTACAAGATTGGGGTTTCCAATGCACTTGCGCTATCTGCCAGCAAAGCAAGAAAACAAAGAAGAATGCGTCGAGCAAGAGGCTTGCACTCTTGAAAGACCTCGAAGCTGCTTTGGGTAGCCAAAAGGGTGCCGATTTGCCAAGGGCGGAACGAATTTTGGATGCCATTGAAAAAACTTATTCGGAACCAGCAAGTAGGGTCCCCCGCCTCGCGCTTTGGGACCCTTACCTCCTCCTCACACGCATCTACAGTTCGAAGAATCAGCAAGACAAAGTGATCGAGACGGCATGGAAGGTCCTGATATCGCTTGGCTTCACGATCGAGAGGCAGAACCCATTGTCTCTCGAATCGCCGTTCGAGGTTGAGCAGTGGGGCTTGATGGAAGACTGTCTGATCCGGACATGGGTGCATTTATGGATGGCGTATGCCCAGGTAGCACCGGACCTATGCAAGAAGGCGGAGGAATGCGCGAAGATCACGTATAAGATTTGCATCGGGGAGGATGACACGTTCGATGAGAAGTATGGCAAGCTGGCCCATCAAGCCATGTTCGAGGGTATAGATTTAGGTAAAGCGTCCCGGTCAGTCGCTTTACGAGGTGATTGACATCGGCTTTACCATGCCAAGGTGGAGGTTCGGGCCGTGCCGATATTAATGACGAGATCATCCCCAGACAAGCAATCGGCCCAATTACATGTCCCGGGACGTGGGATTTGCAAAGCTGGGCTGTGGTTCGCGCACTCGTTTGCAACCTGCAGTTGCACTTCTCGCATTTTCGTGGTCTGTGCTCAATCCAGTCATATGATGAGAGATGACGCATACTATGTAGCTCAACATTCCCAAGCGTCTGAGTAAATAACTAAGCTCGATCCCGGCTACGAATAGGCAAAATCTGCTTGCGACATGATCTGCACCTGCAGAAGCATCCCGGACGTAGATGGCAACACATGCAAGTGCAACCCAGAGTTCACAGTCATTTTGGGGTTGATTTAATCGCCGAAGCAAGCCAACTCTAGGTAAAGTCCCATCAGATTACTTTCATACCTTTATAGAAGCTGAAAAAGACGGCTCCAGACAACCTAAACTCATAGCTCTAGCGAGCCAGACCCTATTTACGAAGAGTCCTAGTCTCCGACTTTTGCGGACTTTCGCAAACGACATCCTCGAATTCACAGGGATACAATACTATCATGAACACCATAATGTCCAGAGGCATATCTCACAAGAGTTTGATGGAGGCGATCACTCTTCTATACATGCTAAACGAATATCCCGAATTTCCAAAAGAAAATCAGCAGTCAAAAATACTTTCAGTGCTCTCAAGTATATACCAACTACCCTTTCAGTGTGAAAAGCAGATTGTGGAGAATCTGGCTTTCTTGTCAGCTACTACACATGACTCGGCTAAGGTCATGGCGGTCTGCCTCGAGGAGGCCCGTGATCGTCGCAGCTGTACAATTCGATTGACTTCGAACAATGGTGATATTGATGATGTAATGCTTGGGTTCAAGCTGATGGCAAAAATCTTGGAACAAGGAGCGTCAAGAGGTTTACACCCAACATTCGATTAAGCAGAGCTATAATTGACTGATGATATTCCAGCGAATAGTAAAGATGATGATATGAAGGCTCTGTTCCGATGCATAGTCACTTTAGATTTTTGGCGTATCCTATCTCGGCTACGATCAAGGCATGCTAAGAATACTTCTAGAAACAAGAACAAGTCTGTACTAATCATACTGTTGGATACTGCCATACGAGACCAATCTATACGGCCCAGTCCGAATATCACAGTTATGGAATTGGCGGACGTGCTAAAAAAGATAAAGACTCTCAAAGCTCTTTTCATGAAATTTGAAGACTTTCAAGACCATTCTGCAGCATCTTCCGTGATACAAGATGTGGCCATGGAATTGATAATTCAAATGCATAATTTGGCTTCACAAACGAAGCTAAGATTGGCTCTCAATTCCTCGAAAACGTTAAATGCTGAGCTCAAAACATCCCTCCCTGAAGCTGTGGAAAAGCTTGGTCGATACTATTCAATCAGCTACGAGCTTATTTGCGTCGCTCGAAGCGAGGAGTACTCTATATTCAACAGCATTGCAATAAAGACTTCTCCAACCCTACGTCCCTCTCAACCATTAAACGTAGATAAGAATGTTCATCCTCTTACAGCACTCCAAAACATACTTCGACCTGGAAGTGCTGTGCAATCAAGATCACTCAAGCCCTCTTTAGAGAGCTGTTTGGGGAAGCCAATCCAAGTCATACTTGACGAGTTCCGTCTGGCCATCGCAGATTATTACAAATCTGTTAAAGTGCATGCAGAGATTCAGCTTCTCTTCTTCTACGAGCTGAACTCGGACAGGATACGACCAAGGACAATCTGTTCCAGCAAGAGCGCATGCTATCTTTGTGATCTCTTCTTCAGGCTCCACGGTCAATACTACGTTCCTAGGACTCATGGCCGTCTTTACCATAGATGGACCCTGCCAGACTGGCATACCTTACTACCAGAGATGCGTCGCCGCGACTTTGACGTCCTTCTGAGAAATTTCAGTGACATTCTGAAAGTCAAGGTCAGAGTAGCCCTAGATAGGGGCCCAGTACGGGCTAATCACCCAAATGAGAGTACCCTGGTCAGGTCTTTATTCCCTATCACCCAGGTACTACCCCCCATTTCCTAATTAGCAACTACTCTTCGCTTGACACTAACCCGGGAGCAGTTACCTGATAGATTTATACCCGATTGTCCGATCTTCTCGGAAGGTCCTGCCTCTTTAGGCTTCACGAGCCCAGACCCAATATTGCCGGAATCACCTCCACAAGCCGAACTCCTAACTGGTGCAACATCATCGTCCATTCTACCAAGCACTTCAACCCTTGGTCCACCAGCCCAAGAACCCATGACTCCGAGGGAACTCCCATCAGGAGACACATCTATAAACACCCCCACAGCATCTCCTTTCCCACCCCTGAGCCCTTCTTCTACAGCATCACCAAAATTGAATCACGAATTGACCAAAGGCGATCACATCCGGCGCCCAATCCCATACCCAAACATATCTATCGACGTCGGCACCACCCGTCTCAATCTGCACTTGTCAAGCAACACCACCCTCAATCCAGACATACTCTCTAATCCTAGTAGTCGCTGTTTGGTACGAGTCAAATGGCTCCAAGGTGCCGAGACCGGAGACGTCAACTCGCAGGCGACTAACGCGGAAGGTTTAAGCTACGACACCGAAACGGAATTCCACCATGGCGCAACATGTACTCCAACAGAACTTCACCTGAGGCGAGGAGAAGATTTCGTGTCGATTAAGTATACGTTCGACGAACCGAGATGAGATTGAAATCGGTTATTTAGATTACAATCCACCCAACTCAATTCTGCTCTCATTCACGAACATCTCCCCTTGGCTCGCGTAATACCCTTGCAAATTCCCCGAAAGATGTGCCTAGGTAACATGGCTCTAAGGGTGCATCAAGGTCCTGGCAAACGTGTTTCCTATCCATTTTGAGAGGCTGCACAAACATGTTTCCACCTTCTTTCGAAGACAGTGTGGTATTGAACTCCGCTGGAGTCTCAGAAGCAGCAACCGTATCCGAATGCAATCCCGTTGACTTTCAGGATGACTAATAGGCTGTCAAGGACAACCAATCATTTCTGCGCTAGAAGTTCCCGTACCAGGTGTCAGCAAACACCACTACAACCCCTCAATCCTTGCAGCTGCGCCATGGGACACCAGATCATCTAAAAAGTTCACTATTCATATTATTCTGAAGAGGAGCCAGAAACATAATTTTCTCGCACGCTTAAGAAGTTTCGGCTCTTCAGTATTATGTCTGCTGTCTTTTGCTGCTCGTCTATAAGTCCGTATCGCCCACGGCAGCTTGACCACGAGGCTAAGTTTAGGACATTTACGAGTTGGGCTCGCCTCCAAACAACCTCTATCGACCCGGCTGACGGCTCGCTTGTCAGCACCGCATTATACGCAGTTCAACTTGTGAAGCAGATTAACTATGGACCGCAGGAGTCGATTAGATACTTCATTCCAGCGAGCAATGGCTCTGATTTTGCTGAGGCCGCAGAGAACGACCTCCTCACATCGAATTTCGAAAAGATGAACTCGTATTTGATCATGAACAGTTCTAAGGGTTAGGGATCCCGGACTGACTGTTAAATACTACAGATATAAGAACTTCAGGTGCCAAAAGCACAACAAATTTTTTGAGATCAACCTCTATCAGAAGAACCCTACCAATACGCATCATTGGCGTATCAACCTCGCACGACCGTCAAGAGATATCGACCTAGCATTTCGACGAAAGGATACTGAAGTGGAGTCAAGTAAAAATGTAGAGGAATCAGAGGGACGGGAGGAGAAGCAGGATCTTCTATCCTCTGGCATAAAAGGCAAAACTTCATTTCCGGAGCTGCGCGTCTCACTCTCGCAAGCTCTCCAGGTACGTAATTTTGAAGAGCCTGGGACATCTTTCTGACTCAGTGTAGGAAACGGACGAGGCAGTACTACACAAGATTCAATCTGCGGATCAGCCAGATATCGCGACTCTGAAGAGAGTCCTTAGATTCTTACTCCCCATGGTCGGGACAAGCCTTGGTCCAAACAGGCTCTTAACCCTGCTATCTCTGAATTGGGCCAACGCAGAACTAAAACTTGGCCTTGATTTCGAAAGTCTTTGGAAGGCTGAATTAACCAGCACAAACATCATCATGTTTTTCACCGAGTGTCTGACATCATGTGCTACGTCTCCCGACTTCGAAATTGATCTTGCAGAGGTTGAGGGTTTAGTAGTCCCCGCTATGCGCTACGTTGAGTTGCGCAATCGACAGCACCTGGCGGGGCAAGTCAGGTTCCATGAGATTGTCAACAGGGTACTTGAATCTGGTTCTACGTTGGATTGGGTTTCTATGTATGGAAACAGCATTACGCGTTTGTTTGCGTCTGGCCCTAGTGAACTCCTCGACCACTACCAGCGCAGAAATGACTGCCTTCAATACGATCCAAGCAATCGACAAGCTGAGGAGGCCCATGATACCCAAAGCAAGAAGGTATTAGTGACGCCGGAATTGTCGATATGCAGTACTATCGCTGATTGGTTGTAATAGGTCGTTGAGGAGTTCATGCCACGGATGCATCGAGGCGAATATGGCGACTTTGACTTTGACAATGATGATCATGACTTTGATTATGATTATGAACCCATGAAAGACCTTACGGCTTGCGATAAGGAGTGCGGATATTGCGGGAACTGTGATTATTAGGGTGCCTCGCGGACACTCGCCAATTTCCTTTTAAAGTTTGATGGAGTTTGGCAACAATAGCGCTTTGACGAAATTTATCCACCGGAGCATTATCCCGACCAGATTGCTCATAATGTAACTGTCAATGGCGTTTCAAATTCGTCATGTAATTGTTGCCTGGACAACCCGTAAGATGATCAGCCATGCGACAGCTTGACATATGTCAGCCCTCTAGCGCCCGAGAGCAATGGGAGCCAACATTTGGTTTTACAAGTCGACAATCCGGCAGACGCCACATACCCGATCTTTGTCTCCAGTATCGACCTACTAGGGGTCTTTTTAGCGTTCTTTCAGGGTGATCCCGTAGGGGGTCTGCACCGGAAAGTCCAGGTTCCTGGTATTTTTGCTTCAAAAAGGCTTTTAGCGTTGAAAATCTTCAACTTTCAAGCTTCAAGAAAAAAATTATTCCTTTCAACTCACAATTGGCCCGCTATGACTCGGGGCGAGATATTCTGATTTTCTATATAAATTACTTAAGAAAAAAGAATTTCTCTAAAGATTAAAAAACTGTTAAGTGAAAAGCAGAATTTTTTTTTTAAATACGAAATCTTAAATCTTGAATAACTCTTTAAGCTTTCAATCTTTTTTAAAAGTTTAAAAACTCGGCGCGAGATCTTAATATGTTATATCCTTAAACTATATATATATATGTTTATATATATAAGTGGTTGTGAATCAACTTCAAACGAGTTTGATGGACACGAAGCTTTAATTTTTCAAAACCGGACTTTCCGGAGCAGGCGTGCTGACAGAAAAAACCGCGAAGCGATCTAGTCTTTTCCTAGTCTAGCGCGCATAGGAGGCAACCCGATCTTTGCTACCCCTCAAGCTCGGATTTTGCCGGACTTAAAAAGGAATCTTCCATAAACTCTAAATATCTGCCGGCAACTAATATGTACAACTACCCAGCTGGAAGCATGTCGAATCAAACTTGTTCATGGTGATTTAGCTTCAAGCCTGTTAATAGATCGTCAGGAAATCCCGCTCAGATAAGCCCAGGTGGTAGGGCGAGGTCGTTGCAGTTTGTATTTTGTTGTCAGCTAAACCACAAAGCTTTACACGGAAAAGTTGGAACCTCCTCAATATTCTGACTTGCTTCTCTCTTACGGTCAGGTACGCCACCTCCCGGCAGAAAGCAGCCAATCATTACTTGCCACATGGTCTTGCAGCCGTGGTCCTAGCACGGCAATCGCACGAACGATGTACTGCAGCACCGCGATAGGTCTGTGAATGATGATTGGCTTCTTGAACCGTTTATTCAGCAGCGACTCATCTACCCCTCAATCTCAGACAACAAATGGTCAACTCACATTAAACAGAGCAGCAGTGATCTATTCCATAGATTTCTGATTCGTATACTACTCTTGGCTAATGGTATCAATATCTGCGCAGCAAGGAAAAAATGCCTGAGCCTTACCCTCGCCTTCCAGAGAGATACGAAAAGTATGCGTTGCATGCAAACGCACGTCAGCATAAAGCAGCGCGATATCTAACTGTATAGAGAACTACAGAGGCACAAATATTAGCTCACGATAGGAGTGTACTCCCCGTTTCGAACGACAATGAACCCAGCAGTGTATTATCACTAGGCGGAACCGACAGTCATCCAACTGAATTGGACGGGCAAGCCGACGTTGATTCTGTGGACGAGCCTCCCCCGGTTCTGGCCCCGCAGCCATCCCTCAGACCTTCCCAACTCCCAGCCACACCTCCGTCCTTCTCGGGTGACGATGGTGGCTTGCATAATGACAGTACGAATTCTACAATCGAGACTATTCGAAGTCTAGAGACTCAACTTGAGCAAGCAAAGAGATATCATAGATCTGCCCAGAAAGACTTGGAGCAAAAGAATCGGAGGATAGCAGAGCTGGAGGGAGAAGCTCAAGTAGCCCATGACCATCAGGTTCAAGCCATTGAGAATGATAGATCAGCTGAAGTAGGAAAATGGGAAAGGAAATATAGCATGCTGAGAGAGGTTTTGGGAAGATCTGAAGAGGAGAAGAAAAGATTGAAAGAGGTACTTCGCGAGTTGGAAGCCAACGAAGACAAACTATATAGAGAGTTGCGGAGGGCAAGAGGAGATCTTGACGGGCAGAGGGAAAGGGAGAGAGTCATAGAAACTCGTCCAGGGATGGCCAAGAATGACATTGCGAGACAAGGGAATGCGGCCCTGGGGTTGATCAACCATCAACACAGAGATTTAGAGAGAGAGAGTAACATAACCACTGTTCCAGATCCACAAACTACGGAACGGCAGCTCAGAAGTCATGATGAGAGGCAGCACAGAAGAGGCGGTGCTAATGAATATAGGCTGGCGACTATAACAGACCATCGAGGAGACTTTAGCCGGCGTCACTTCATAACCCGTCCAACAACGCGAAAAAGGACGTTTTTGTTCGGCGGGTAGAATTATTACGATAGAATGTCTTACAAACAAATAGGTGCACGGCAGAAATAAGGCCTATATCGAAATTTATAAGGAGAATCAACGAGCAGCCAAGGGATACTGCCTCTTCTACAATGCAATACGATAAACCCAGTTGCGTACTAACCGTTCGTCTTCGAACATCGACCACACCTCATTTCAACCATCCTGAGTCACCTTGTCGCCAGAGAAGTGTCTAGAATCTCCGGCTATCTGTCAACGCCCCAACTTGATCCCTCTCGAAATAGAATCACAGCAGACTATCCACACTCCCCCATTTTTACAACTCGTTTCCGAAGGAAATGGCTGAATCAAAAGGCGAGGCTATTGCAGTAAGAGAATTCCGAGATTTCCCCTCCAGAGCTTCCTTAGCGGCAGCCTCTCCTACTTTTCATAGCTGCATATAGAAATCAAGGACGACAGTCGATATAAGATATATGGAACGCAAATAGAATACAAAGTAGACGCCAAATAAGCTCGCTTACCGCAGATCTTTCAAAATTGAAGGGAGCATCTACGTACGAATTAGCTTGAGCACAGGTCAGAGCATATCACGTATCAGAGCTGGATCTTTATTATCTGATTCATTTGATGTTGCAGTCAAAAAGGTGTTGACCTAAATCTCATTAGTGAAGGGAAGGAGATCACATGACAGTATTTCTCTGCCCGCGGGCAGAAAACTACTGTCACGTGATAAAGATTTGAATATGTGCCACTACGGCCGTCCAAAACCTCGTTCACCACCAGCGCTGCAGCACTACCTTTTGCTGGAAGCATGGTAGTATTGTTTGCGGCGGACCACAGCTGGAGTTGTGCATGCCAATTTCTTTACAGGAGGACTCTCAGTTGTTCTAAATACTTTACGTCTCTGCCATTGAAGCGATGCGCTCATCGTTCGCTTCTATAGGGCTGATTGACCCCGCCATTGCGGGACAGTGAGCACTTGATATTTCACTCGCCCAGCAGCTGTTGGACTCACCGCTTCAGACAATGACCAAAAGGCAAGCACAAACGCAAAGGAAATCAGTGTATCTGCAATGTAGAAAAGTTTTTACTGGAACGAATGCTCGTGTTCGGAAGGTCAAGAAGGTCCGAAAATTACTAGAGAAGAACCAGCATTTGTTTGCGACTCTCGCAGATCAGTATAACTTCGAGACAATCTGTGACGTCGCAAAAGAGCTTCTAGATGCCGGTATATTCGACTCAACTTCGAAAGCCGAGACGCAGTTTCCCGAGCTGTTTCGCTCCTCCGATAGTGGTTGGGAGGGAAGCGAGTCCTCCGATAGTGGTTGGGAGGGAAGCGAGTCCTCCGATTTTGATGCGACCAGGTCTGAGTTGGATGCTATGGAAGAAACCATATCTTCAGAGGAAGAGAGTATCAGAACGTCGCACGTTCCGGATCTGAAGGCTTCGTCATGCGGTAAGAACAACCTCCCTGCAAAAAGATCAAAGCTGAGCTTAAAGCGCCATATCCACCGTCAACGGATTCCCGCGCAACGACCTTGCCTCCTGCGACGCTTGCTGCACTGACCCTTCGTCCTCTTTATTTGCCCTACAAGACACAACATCGGCTTCTCACGATGATTCAACACATCCTCGAAGAGTGCTGCTTCACTTTTGGGTCTCTATGGCTCCCAGAGGTCCTTAAGGCGAGGTCATGTGAATGCGTAGAATCCATAGAGCTTACTCGATGGACAGGAATTCTATCCAAGCATTGCAAAAACCTTCCGTCACGGGCTACGTCGGAGATACCAGGCGTATCCCTTCGTGATGTCCTCTTCAAGACACGACAGATACGGCACACGGCAGTTCATAGACGACTGACGAGCGTTTGGGAGATTGAGGAGATGATTCGAAATGCGGCATCACTTACGACGATTCTGAAGGATGCTGTCCGAACTAGAAGGATTGAACTGATACGGCACGAAGTAAGATTGACAACAGAAGAGCTAAATAGAGTGCAGAACGGGTTGGAGATGAGAACTTCGGAAGAGCTCGCAACGGTTGCTCACCAGAGAATTTTGTTAGATGAACGCGAGGAGAAAGCTATCGAATTCATGCTCAGCGAGGGCAACCAGAATCGATTAGGCCTTGGATCAAAACTAGATGAGCTCCTGATGTCATACCAGAGAAGCACAGCTTTGGACTTCCATTATCCTGAAGAAATGAGCTATGTGAAGGACGTTATTCTCAAAGTAGAAGACTTCGAAGCATATAAATAGCAACCCTTTTTCGCGACTAATAAAAAGGTTGGAATTTTCCGTATCTAATATAAGTCTCCTGCATAAAAGCTTGCTTTAAAATGAACATTCCTTACCCAGTTCACTCGAATCGATACTAAAGCCTACTTTGGATTTTGCAAATGTTATACCTTCGGCGATCTGCTTGGACCGCCCTCCGCTAAGCCTGTACCAGACGGACGTGTGTTGGAAGTTCTGTGAGGTGTGAGTTTGAACCCCCTCCCGTATTTCTCCTTAAACTTTGAATCAGACTCTTTTCCTGGCCCAACATCAACGTCAGGTCCGGAATTAGGGATTGTAATGCTTGTCAGACTCCTTGCGATCTGTTGAAGCGAGTCATCGCTAATGTGGCCCCCCACCTGTCTCGTTCTCCAGCCGAGCCCTTGATATTTACCATGAATAGTCTTCTCACTGGTCGAAACCATGAATTGCACGGCATCGCCCACGGCGTAATTGTCGATGGTGCTCACATTGTCTTTCAAGTGGTCTTGCGCTCGAGAGCAAATATCCATGCCCTGGCGAGTCGCTGCCAACTCATCCCGCATTCTTGCAATATCTGCACGTTCTTCTTCCGAAATGATTGCAGTCTTCGATTTGTCCATCAATCGACCGAAAAGCTGCTTCTCATACCCTTCCAACTTCAGCGTTGTACGAGCAAGGCTGTTCTTGCATTCCTGTAAGCCTTCATTGGTGATTCTTTCAGATAAATTATCCGAACCCGTTTGCTCGCTACCGTCGCTGCTGCGGTTAGCCGAGAGCTGGATCTTATCTTGGCAGGCATTGCCGCATCTTAGCAACGGGATCTTGAGCGCAGAGAAGGTAAAATGCTGAGCCAAATGCGTTTACACTCTTCGAGCCAAGGGACTAAGAGATGTTCGCGACAAGCAGAAGCTTGCGAAGAATGTGGCAAATTCGTCTCGCCTTTGTATGTGTAGCCGAAGAGTGATACCACTAATTAGCAGGGAGGAGTCTGGTCGCTAGCCGCTTCGGATGACTAGTCTCTTTTGGGTGACCAGTCTTGGAAAATGTTTGAACATTTTCCAAGACTGGTCATCGCAAGTTGACCAAACATTCTTTTACCCTGGTCACCCAAAATCCGCACGGCATTAAATCCCCCACGGCATTGAAGTCCCCACCCGCGGAGAATCCCTAGGTTTTCAAAATCCATGCTCTTTCAGAGCCCCTGTGCGCTCATGAACCCTATTCCTTCAAAGTCCGCAAACTCCCTACTCATTCTAAGGTCCTATAGCATTACGGTCCGTAGTCACTCAATTTCCCTCACACTATGCGAGAGGAAAATATTGGAATATTGGCTGCAACAGAGGAATATGATCGACTAAATGGACAGCTGCTGTGCAATGTCTATAGACAACCCAATTTTATATCCCAACCGTCCCCCGGTGTTTCTTTCGCACGTGATGCCGTTGAGATATGTCTTCAGTGGCAACTCTCTTCGGCACACCTCCTCGGTAGGATAAAGCTTCAATGCAAACTTTCATCGCAGAAAGCAGCAGATCGTTGTTGATGTCAAGTTCTGATTCCCGGATCAAGAGTATCGTGTAAGTTTTGTTGGCCGCCACAGCTGGCTAACAGCCCCGAGGAGCCGTCATGCGCAGCTCGGTATTGAGAAGTCCTATCTTTTCTTGCACGTACTCCTTCACTGTCCCCTCAATTGGGGATGGATTGAGTGGATGGATCAAGCGCCGATTATGGAAGCGTCTCTGCAGCAGGCCTATCCGAAACCAGCCCGATCACCCATGACTTCGCCAAAATGTTGTTCTAAGACTAGTCAGCCTCATACCCTAACACCACCAATTGCGGCCGTCTCCAGGCCGCCAAGTCATGGCAACTAGTCATCCTTTCGTCTTAGCATCCTCGCGTTCTGCTTCTTCCGCATATAGTACAATTGAGATATATTATTGTTCGTGACTCGTTTGAGTACACGCTCTTAGTGAGATAAAGTATCGGTTCTAACGTCCGAAGCTGAAGATCTAAGCTCCTTAGTAATGCTGATATTGCTCTTAGGAACTAAGAGTATTGTGTTTGTCCTATCGGCGACTACCGCTAAGAAGCAATCGCATAGAGCCAACAAACGGATGGATCGAAAGGGTTAACGTCGCGAAAGGTAATATCTTTCTAGATGCTTTCTTTAAGAAATTTAAATTTAATATAAACCTTAGTAATGTCTAGCCTAATAAGCCTTATTGCCGAAGCCGCTAAGTTAATTAAAGTTTCCTTTAAATTTTAATCTAATGTTAGAATCGGGGCCGAAGTCATATACTTTGCTATCTCCTATATCTAGCTTTATAAAGTTTCTTGCCTTTAGTCTATAATGCTATATAAGTTATTATAGTTTTTAGAACTATTTATAGCTTTCTTAATATCAATTTAGGTCCTATGTTTTAAAGCTTTTAATGTTAAGACTTTACTTGCTAGCGCTTATACTAACTCTTTTTTTTATACCTTTTCTACTTAGTCTATAAGGTTTTTATTAAGTAAGTCTTCTTGTTTAGCTCTTTGTCGCTTTTTTCTTTCTTGTTTATTCTGCTCTTGCTTTTCTTTATGCTTTTCCTACTCTAGCTTCTCTTGCTTGAATCGTATACGCTCTTATTCCTATTTTTCCTATTCTAGTTTTTCCTCCTATCTCTCCTGCTCTATTCTAGCAAGCCTTTCCTATTCTAGTCTTTCCTATTCTAGTCTTTCCTGTTCTAGTCTTTCCTATTTTAGTCTTTCCTATTCTAGTCTTTCCTATTCTAGTCTTTCCTATTCTAGTCTTTCCTATTCTAGTCTTTCTTGTTCCAGTTTTTCCTACTCTATTCTAGCAAGCCTTTCTTGCTCCTATCTTTTCTATTCTATTTTTGCCTAATTCTCTTGCTCCTATTGCTCTTATGCAATTTATTCTAATTCTAGCTATATAAGTTTCTCCTGCTCTTGCCTTTCTTGTTCCTACTTTTTCTATTAGGCTCTAGCGAGCCTTTTAAGCTCCTATTTTTCTTATTCGATTCTAGCAAGCCTTTCCTGCTCTTATCTTGCGAGTTTTTCTTACTCTACTTATTCTTCTGCAAGTTTTTCCTACTCCTATTAAATAGTATCTATATTGTTTAGTTGCTAGCTTTTATTTTATATAAGTTTAGTGTCTATAGCTATGTTGTTGGACCTAAGATAATCTTTATAGACTATTAGCTATAATTAAGCTTATAAGTCTAAATAATACTTAGTAACAATAAGATTTTTATATTTATAATAGAATAGTCTAAAGTAGGGGAAACAATAATAGCTAGTAACGATTTATCGAAGAAATTTAAATATATAGATTTTCAAATAAAAAATAATATAATCCTTTTACTTTATTCCTTTTTAATATTATAAAAATAATTAATAAAAAAGAATTCTTTATCTATTTTATAGTCTTTTATCCTAGGGTATTTCTATCGCTAGTTTATACTTTTACCTAAACTAGCTATAACGAGTAATAAATATAATCTATTAGAGTTAGCGCTATCGGCTATCGAATATAAATACTAGTTTTAAAATGTAATCTCCAAGCTATTAAAGCTTAGTTAGCTAGCTAGATTAGTAAACCTGCACAGTATAGCTAGGTTTGCTTTAGCTATTAATATTGCTTAATAGTTATATACTTAAAGCTCCCTAAACATATCGAGAAAATAGCATATAAAGTATATATATAATTAGTAATACTTTAGTTCTACCTAATTTCTAAGTTTTATAGACTTAAACCTAAATATAGATTTTATAACTTATATTACTATATAATTTATCCCTAAGCTTATACTAGAAAATACTTATTCTAGTATAGTTAATACTGTTTCTCTAGGATATAAGCTTATTAAGCATTTTATATAATTTATATAGGCTTATATATAATTATAATTTTTCTAAAAAAGAGTATATAGATAAGACTATCCCTTTGAAATATAATAACCTTTTCTAGATTCTCTTATATTTATTAATAGTAAAGTTACTAAAGATTGTTTTGCTAAGCACTTAGCTATATAGTATTTTTGTATTAAAAGTCGATGCCTATAGCGCTATAAGTTCTAAAGCTTTAATAGTATTTTAATTTACTTTTTCTATTGCTCCTAGGTCTTATTAAAAGAGTATACTTTAGAACTTTAAAATATAGTATAAATATTGCAAGTATTACTATTTTATTAATTAGTAGATAAAAACAATTAATAGCTCTACTTATTTTATTATATTTAATAGTTATTACCTTATACTATATACTAAGTATTAGTTTTTTCTCTAAGAGGGATAGAATCTGCAAAAAAGTATTAAAAGCTACTTTATAGTTATTGTGCTAAAGAAGTTATTTTAAACTTTTACTTTTTTATAGAATTAACTATATCTACTATTGCTATTTAAAGCTAAGATTATATTAAAAATAATATTAATATATTTTATAATAGATTTTACTATCGGTAGGCTTCTTTTTATTAATATAATTTTTAATTAGATATATTCTAAGCTTGCAGTTAACGTCTATAAAAATAACTAGTTAGATCGTTTAGTATATTAGATATATATATTACTTGCAAGATAAAAATTAACTATTTACTATTTGTTTTTTAAAAGAAAGATTTCCTTTATAGCTTAAATTTAGTACTAACTATAAAGATATTCTAACTAATACCTAGTTAAGAAACTTAAATCTAGATAGCTAATACCTAGATTATTAAGCAAAATCGCTAGTAAAATGCCCGATACCTAAAAAGCAGTATTAAAGTATTATTATCCTATTAAAGCAAAGATATAATTCTTTATAAATAGTCGATTATATTTTCTTTAAAAGTTTGATTTTAACTTTTTAATATTTTTCTTTTTAAGCTTTTTAAGCTTTTTCCTTTAGAAATATAGCTATTTAAACCTAATATAAGCTGTTTTTTTAAACTTTGCCTTTCTTTCTATTTAGAGTCTTAATTCTTCCTCTTAAGTATAAGTTAGTAGTATTTTAAGCAAACTTCTCGGAATATATTAATAGAAAAATAACGAAATATAGTACTCTTTTAAAAGCTGCTAACCCTTCTATTTATGCTTCCTTAGGTAAATCTCTAAAATTAGCTTCCTTCTGCCTATAGAACTAGCTCCTTTATCCTAATAGTACCTTTTTTAATTCTGCGCTTTAAATAGTAATATAGTTATTTATAGCCTTTTTTATACTTTCCTACCCTCTTCAATCTTGCCTAAAAGGAAAGGGCTTTATAAATAAGCTACATCCTTAGGGCTCTACCTACTAGAGGCTGTTGCGGCTAGGCTAAAAGCATATAAGTATATAAGAATATATAATAAATCCCCTTAGAATAGGTTTTAGAGAATTTACAAATTGAAGTTTAAAGATTTTATAGCTATTGCAATAAAAAAAGCCTCTTTATATAAAGTTATTATAGTAAAAGAATTCTAAACGCTAAAAGGCGTTAAAAAGCTTTATATACTATAATAGATCTAGTATAAGAATTTTGTTGTTTTTTTTAAGTTTTTTTAGTACTAAGAATACTTTTATATTATTCTTAAATATATACCTATTTTTCTTTTATAAATTACTGCTTTTCCTTTTTATTTTACTAAGCTTTAGCTTGCTACTATACTTAGACAAATATATTAGCGTAGTAATATCCTACTTATATACTAACTAAAGTAGATTTTAAATAGCCTCGCTTATTTTGCTTCGATAAAGTTAATATATAGTTTTTTAGCCTATTTTAATATTTTTATTAAGCTTATAGGGGTAGTTATAATTAGTAAGCTATTATCTAGTCTATA